TCTGTCGAAAATCGACAACTATGAAACTATGATCCCTTCCCCGACACAATCGGTACATTGTGAGACAGGAAATTGTAGAGAGAAACAAGTCCTATAACATAGGATACAACATTTTAATGAACAGTGCTTTCCATAAAATGAATAAAATGAAAAATAAATAGATGAGATCAATGTGCTGCCGACAGATTGCCCTAGACTTGTTTATTCGGTGCGTCCAACGCAAAAAAGACGCTAAGCAAATTGTATCCTATGATGTATGTTTAAGTATTTGTTTATTAACAAGAAAGCGTATCGGTTTTTTGTTACAAAGTACTCATTGACACTTTGATTTTGCGCCCCCAAAATGTTGCGCCTACGGCCCAGCCTTCAAAAGCATGTTACTCTTTTATTTGAAATGGAACACCCAGTATATTATTCCGATATTCAATGGAGAATTAATCTCTCTTCAAAATACTATTAAGGTTGTCTACCCCTCAAACAAAGATTTTCCTAGATATTTTCATTTACATGATTTGATCTGGGTAGATCTTTATCTATACTAACATATAAAATTATTTGATAAAATCTAGAGTGTCTGTGATATGGCTGACGTTACTTCAACATAGCTGTCTAGTTAGTCCAACTTGCAACTCTCGCAACTAGTAACAACTAGTTATCATTTTGTCTCCTGATTTTATTTAGTATCTAGTCTGGAATTTTCTTATGGGGATATGTTAAAGACAGTGTTTAAAAAAGTCGACCAACTATTTTCGACAATATGAGAGAAATTATTGTAGCTGGTTTTCAATTTGACAATTTTTGAGGCATTTGTTGTCGTGTTACTTTCAACCCTTTGACTCCAGGGCACCTACCCCTAAAATTTTAAATAGCAACCCCTATTTTTACCATTTTTGTGTTTCTTATTGAATTCTACATTATTTTTTTTGACTGATTTTTATTTCACAACCTAACACGACAACAAAAGCCCCAAAAATTGTCCCCCTTGATATGTAAATTGACGTGTTTCTCGCAAAAAATGTTCATACTATCATCGGTAGAGGCAATACTAAATATTGTTCGTTTTCAAATTGTCACTCTGTATATAATATATAAAAGAGACAAACACTTACTTACACTGCATTAAAACTGCCACTTTCAGTTTTGCAATACAAACGCAACAGTTCTTCTTCACAAATTAAAATGTCCGACAACACTAAAATCACTAAAACTTCCGCGGCTGACAACGAAAACTGAAAAATATAACAGCACTTTTTGTTTTGAACCCTGCATATCAAAATTACGCTATGTTTTTGATTTTAAAATAATATGAAATATACTATGAATATACTTAATAGAATTGTCAATGTCATAATATTTTAATTTTAAACATAATATGTAATAGGTAAAGTAGGTAAAGTAGGTAGGTATAATTTAATAAAAATAATAAACTGTATTAACTATGTCTTCATTATTTTTGCTCTATTATCTCTTTAAAATAAAAATCAGCATTATCTTAATCTTGACAATAAAAATAAGTACCTATATACTATTTTTTAACAACACTTATTTTTTGTTTTAAGTTATTATACTTATAACAGAGCTTATAATCCTAGACCATATGGCTTATAATAAGTAATAACAAATGCCTACTTTCATTTTAATTGCTTTTCAATAAAATGAATAATAATTTTGTAATGAATTTTATAATTCTAAAGTTCTGATTTCTAAAATTCGGAAAAATCTGGGAAAAATATTTGTTTTTGGCAATCTGTTTGGCACTCTGTTGTTGAATAATGAAATTAAAATTAAAATAGCTGTTACAGTGGCCATTGTCTGCTTCTTCAATTATCCATACAAGTATTTGTAGGAAGTGCTTCAAAGATGTCGCCACAAGAAGAAATAGAAATCTGTGATTTTGATAGAAATTATTTAGTAAATTTGTATTAGAAATTTTAATGTAGGGAAAAATGGAGAGAAACGTTTAAATAACGATAGTTGTACGATGGTTGTACGTATTTTAATGATAGCAAAGAAGCAAAATCACCCCATAATCACCACTTACTTCTTTTTTTATTTTGACTGAAATCATATGGATCTGTCGTGGATTGACAATAAAAAAAATGACATTTTAGGTTTTTGTCTGAAATTGACATTTCTACGTCTTTAACAAAAACACATTTTTAGTCTTGCTTTTGTTACATATTGCAGAGAAAAAACTAATATTATTTAAGGCGATATTGAAATATCAAAATTGAACAATACTTTACAACTATATTAGAAACAAATTGCCTTGCATTTTAAGGGTCATTTAACTCTTATTGGCAAATGATCAAAAGAACAGAACCCCGGAAGTAAATTGGTGAGTTAAATTTATTTTTTCATTGTATTTTTGAAAGTATTTTCCACTATTTTTAATTATAGACAGGCAATAAAGCCTTTTATGATTATTTATTTATACCTTATATACCTAAAAATATTGTTTGAATATAGATTTTTTTGGTAATGACCTCAAATACTCAAGGAAAACTATCTTTGTTTCCACCTGACTTAAAGAAGGAACTTCATAATACAGTAAAAACTAAAAGGTGACACTGTGATGGAATATAGTTTTTTGTGTGTGTGCTTTACACTAATATAATATGCATACTGATAATTATTAAGCTTTCATTCTTTTATTCAATTATGATTTAGCATAATCATGGTGATTACTTATTAAATTATTAATTCCCTGACTTATCATTATTAATAATCGTAAAACAAAGTTGATTTTATTTGTTTTTGAGTTTAGAAAATGGAGGACTCAGCTGATGTGGAAATGTCCCAAGAATTTCCCACAGCAACTGACATAGCCTCAAAATGGATTGAAGATTTTTGAAAAAGATTTATTTTCTGCCAACACTTTAAAGCAGCATTGGGTTGAATGGGTTCCAAAGATTTACTGTCCTGCTTTAAACGAGAATTGTCTTAATTGGCAATTTAATGAAGACTTGGCCAGTGATGTTCTTTTTCTTCCTTTGGAATACTTTATTTGTAAAGGTAGTTCGCCAGAAGCTTTAAGTCAACTTGACCATGCCAATAAACATTCGTCTGTATGCGGAAGATTTTTTAAGAATGCAGAACCAACTTATTCATGTCGAGAATGTGGAATGGACAAAACATGTGTTTTATGTGTGGACTGTTTCAAAAACTCTCCACATCGCTTTCATAAGTATCGAATGGGCATGTCAGGTGGTGGAGGATGTTGCGACTGTGGAGATGTAGAAGCGTGGAAAAAAGATCCATTTTGCAGCTTACATCAGGTAAGTGTGTTACAGACAAAGCTCTGCTTTATGTGTCTGGTTCCAAATTTTTACACAAAGCTTTATAAAATCTGGGCAATAGCTGTATACATTTTAAAAACATTTTTGGCATTATTTCAAGGGTAATTCAAACTACTAATAAATAGTAATAACTATAAATGCCTAAATTCTTAATTATATAGTTTTATCTTATTTCATAGTAGTATTAGATTTGTTTAAATGTTGGATATGTTAACTAACATGCTTAGTGGCTATTACAAATATCATGTAGAAGTAACTAGTTATTTTTAAATGATAAATAATAGCAACTTTTCATTTCTATAACTATTTTCTGTACGGACTTCAGTTGTTATTAAATATAATAACTGATTGTTGTGCCAAATAATGTTTTATGCATTAAATGTTGCATGTCATCCTATCATTACCTTCTTATAGTAATTTTTCCTTCAAAATAGTTTTCAATAACAACCAAAGTTGTTCAGTATAGCTTAATTCCCTCTAAGGGTATACCTTATAAATAATATAAACGGTTTAGCAAATTACGAATAAAACTGTTGTTTTTATATTTTTCAGTATTTTTTTATCCTTACTTTTTACTAACTTTAGTATGAATTTGTTATTGCCCTTATTTTTTACCCATTTGTTTTGATTTCTTCATTTCTTCATATCTTACATCATACAAGGTTTTTATTTACACCATTTTTAAGCCCCGTTCGTGGAATTTCGTTGTGTCGTTGACTATCATTGGTTGATATTTCAAGGAACCAATGAGAGTTATTTAAATTTAAAATTCACTTCTTCATCTTGTTGTGCCATGCCTGTCTTCGGGCGTTGGCGATCTCCATGAATATTTCGTTGAAGAGTTCTCTATCCTTTGCTGCATGAAACAGCCTCTCCACCCCCAGACCCACCAGAGATTTTGGTTAAAGTTGACAGCTGTTTGAATTTCCTAAAAATCTCATTGGTTCTCTTGACTTGTCGTTGGCGACAGTACGAAATTCTGAAAACGGTGCTTTATAAACCCAAGTATCTGTCTTAAATGTCAATTATTGCTAAATGTCAGATAATCTAATCAGGTAGAGATAATTTTGCTAGATTAACTTAAATACTTAATCCTTATCTTTAATTATAAATTAGTAAGGATTAAGTCAAGAGTAAATTAATATACTTTGAAAAGAGAGATGGTTTTTATACATTCAAATTCATAGAAATTCTAATAGTTCTAAAAACACGTTTTGCTCAGCTTGTTAACATCATCATCAATAGTTGATAAAAATGTATTAATCCCACACCAAAAGCTAGAAAGTATGGATTATATTGAGGTTTAAACTAAAACACCATCTACATATTACGTTTTACCCTCGGTTTTACCTGTCACTCTCGCCAGACATCAGGTTCTTTCCGTGTATATATGTTCTATTTTTTTTTACTAGGCATATACTATAGTATTTGCTACTTATTGCCCTGTAAGCCAGTAAACGTAGCATAGTATTATATGTAAAGGTGAAAAAAATTAGTAACCAACCAATCTCAACGGGAATATGTAGATAATGGTCTCCTATTTAACCCTTGCAAAGTCCCATTCGGTCCCAGTGGGGGAAGAAAACCACCGCCATCTTAGATTTTTTCCTTTTTTTTCAAATATCTCCTACTTATTTCTTTTTTTATTTTGACTGAAATCATATGGATCTGTCGTGGATTGACAATAAAAAAAATGACATTTTAGGTTTTTGTCTGAAATTGACATTTCTACGTCTTTAACAAAAACACATTTTTAGTCTTGCTTTTGTTACATATTGCAGAGAAAAAACTAATATTATTTAAGGCGATATTGAAATATCAAAATTGAACAATACATTACAACTATATTAGAAACAAATTGCCTTGCATTTTAAGGGTCATTTAACTCTTATTGGCAAATGATCAAAAGAACAGAACCCCGGAAGTAAATTGGTGAGTTAAATTTATTTTTTCATTGTATTTTTGAAAGTATTTTCCACTATTTTTAATTATAGACAGGCAATAAAGCCTTTTATGATTATTTATTTATACCTTATATACCTAAAAATATTGTTTGAATATAGATTTTTTTTTGGTAATGACCTCAAATACTCAAGGAAAACTATCTTTGTTTCCACCTGACTTAAAGAAGGAACTTCATAATACAGTAAAAACTAAAAAGGTGACACTGTGATGGAATATAGTTTTTGTGTGTGTGCTTTTACACTAATATAATATGCATACTGATAATTATTAAGCTTTCATTCTTTTATTCAATTATGATTTAGCATAATCATGGTGATTACTTATTAAATTATTAATTCCCTGACTTATCATTATTAATAATCGTAAAACAAAGTTGATTTTATTTGTTTTTTGAGTTTAGAAAATGGAGGACTCAGCTGATGTGGAAATGTCCCAAGAATTTCCCACAGCAACTGACATAGCCTCAAAATGGATTGAAGATTTTGAAAAAGATTTATTTTCTGCCAACACTTTAAAGCAGCATTGGGTTGAATGGGTTCCAAAGATTTACTGTCCTGCTTTAAACGAGAATTGTCTTAATTGGCAATTTAATGAAGACTTGGCCAGTGATGTTCTTTTTCTTCCTTTGGAATACTTTATTTGTAAAGGTAGTTCGCCAGAAGCTTTAAGTCAACTTGACCATGCCAATAAACATTCGTCTGTATGCGGAAGATTTTTTAAGAATGCAGAACCGACTTATTCATGTCGAGAATGTGGAATGGACAAAACATGTGTTTTATGTGTGGACTGTTTCAAGAACTCTCCACATCGCTTTCATAAGTATCGAATGGGCATGTCAGGTGGTGGAGGATGTTGCGACTGTGGAGATGTAGAAGCGTGGAAAAAAGATCCATTTTGCATCTTACATCAGGTAAGTGTGATACAGACAAAGCTCTGCTTTATGTGTCTGTTTCCAAATTTTTACACAAAGCTTTATAAAATATGGGCTATAGCTGTATACATTTTGAAAACATTTTTGGCATTATTTCAAGGGTAATTCAAACTACTTATAAATAGTAATAACTATAAATGCCTACATTCTTAATTATATAGTTTTATCTTATTTCATAGTAGTATTAGATTTGTTTAAATGTTGGATATGTTAACTAACATGCTTAGTGGCTATTACTTATTATCATGTAGAAGTAACTAGTTATTTTTAAATGATAAATAATAGCAACTTTTCATTTTCATAACTATTTTCTGTACGGACTTCAGTTGTTATTAAATATAATAACTGATTATTGTGCCAAATAATGTTTTATGCATTAAATGTTGCATGTCATCCTATCATTACCTTCTTATAGTAATTTTTCCTTCAAAATAGTTTTCAATAACAACCAAAGTTGTTTAGTGTAGCTTAATTCCCTCTAAGGGTATACCTTATAAATAATATAAACGGTTTAGCAAATTACGAATAAAACTGTTGTTTTTATATTTTTTCAGTATTTTTTTATCCTTGCTTTTTACTAACTTTAGCATGAATTTGTTATTGCCCTTATTTTTTACCCATTTGTTTTGATTTCTTCATGTCTTCATATCTTACATCATACAAGGTTTTTATTTACATCATTTTTAAGCCCCGTTCGTAGAATTTCGTTGTGTCGCTGACTATCATTGGTTGATATTTCAAGGAACCAATGAGAGTTATTTAAATTTAAAATTCACTTCTTCATCTTGTCGTGCCATGCCTGTCTTCAGGCGTTGGCGATCTCCATGAATATTTCATTGAAGAGTTCTCTATCTTTTGCTGCATGAAACAGCCTCTCCACCCCCAGACCCACCAGAGATTTTGGTTAAAGTTGACAGCTGTTTGAATTTCCTAAAAATCTCATTGGTTCTCTTGACGTGTCATTGGCGACAGTACAAAATTCTGAAGACGGGGCTTTATAAACCCAAGCATCTGTATTAAATGTCAATTATTGCTGAATGTCAGATAATCTAATCAGGTAGAGATAATTTTGCTAGATTAACTTAAATACTTAATCCTTATCTTTAAATAATAAGTTAATAAGAATTAAGACAAGAGTATATTAATATACTTTGAGAGGTGGTTTTTAAACATTCAAGTTCATAGAAATTCTAATAGTTTTAAAAACACGTTTTGCTCAGCTTGTTAGCATCATCATCAATAGGTGATAAAAATGTATTAATCCAACACCAAAAGCTAGAACAAGCTATACATTACGTTTTACCCTCGGTTTTACCTGTCACTCTCGCCAGACATCGGGTTCTTTTCGTGTATTCTAATTTTTTTTTACTAGGCATATACTATAGTATTTGCTACTTATTGCCCTGTAGGCCAGTAAACGTAGCCTAGTACCGTATGATCGAAAAAAAACGGCGTCCAGTTGGCTGGGAAATGACGATTAATGACATTTCCCATATAAATTTACATATAAAATGACAGCGATCTTCATTTCATAGCCATCGTTGACGCCGTTTTTTCTCGGTCATACGGTATTATATGTAAAGGTGGAAAAAATTAGTAACCAACCAATCTCAACGGGAATATGTAGATAATGGTCTCCTATTTAACCCTTGCAAAGTCCCATTCGGTCCCAGTGGGGGAAGAAAACCACCGCCATCTTAGATTCTTTCGTTTTTTTTCAAATATCTCCGTTGGTATAACTTTTTTTCGAAAAAACTAAAGATATGTTTTTTGTATAGAATTAAATTTAGAATATTTTACCTTCAGTCATTTTTTTTTCTAAAATAAATAGTAATAGAGACAGAGCAATTCTTTACTATACGTTTTATACATTTTCCAGTTTTTTTAAACCAAACAGCTATAATTTTTGCGTTAACAGTATAGTATAGTGTTAATATATGTAGATAAACCAAGTATAAATTTAAGGATTAAAACAATTAAAAATAACGGTTAAATATTATTTATTAAACAAAATTATTGTAAAAAAATATTATTAAATTAAAGTTATTAAATAAAATCTGCTATAGCGTCATCCTGAGCGTCATTTTTGTCTTCAACTAAAATACAAAAGTTTGTGCAACTGATTCTGTAGCACTGACCACACTTTGAAGACCATTTAAGAGTCAGTTTTCTACAAAAGCAATTTTTAGGGCACTGACACTCTGCAATTGCAAAAAATTAATTTCAGTAGGGCAGGAGGCGCTACATCTTCTGTTGATTATTTCTTGTTCTTGTTCTGAATAGGTGTCAGATTGCCTTCTTGATCTTTTTCCCATCCATATTGTAACGGATCTAACTTGTTACCAATCCATTCTTGAATCTAAAAAATACAACTTATAACATTCCCTATAATAGATATATCTTTACACCTGAAAGTATGTCCTGAGTAAATGAAGTTTTGCAGAGTTCTCAGTTGGAGGCAAATTAGCTAAATTAAAGGTAGTCTTAAGGGCTTGTCTTGATGTAATCATATTGTACAGAGTGTATCTCAGATCGTTAATATGTTTAATATAGCTTGGGCACATATTAACGATCTGAGATACACTCGATACAATAGGATTACATCAAGACAAGCCCTTAAGACTAGCTTTAATTTAGCTAATTTGCCTCCAATTGAGAACTCTGCAAAAATCCATTTACTCTGGACATACTTTCAGGTAACTGTAAATATATAAAAATTGAAATAGCGAGGGGAATATATAAAAACAGAAGGAAAAAATTAGTTGGCAAGCCCTCAACAACTCGTAACCGTATACACCATCTGCACTGGTGTACACTGGTGTATACGGTTACGAGTTGTTGAGGGCTTGCCGACTAATTTTTTCCTTCTGTTTTTGTAAATATATTGGACTTTTGAGGGGTTATATATTGGACTTTTGAGGGGTTAAATAGGAGATCATTATCTAGATATTCCCATTGTGATCGAAAAAAGCTATAATTGATTACTATTTTTTTCCATCTCAACCTCCAGATTGACTGGCCTAGTACAGAGTTTATACATTTTGTACGGACCAATTAGACCTACTATAATATTATAAAATCCTAAAATTAAGAAATTGGCGCTTATCAAGTTCTTCCCTTGGACCCCTCATTTTAATTAACTTATGCGATCATTTCCTGGGTGTTATTTGACTATTACTGTTTCGATAGGTTGACAATGAAGATGACGACGGCAAAAATAACTTACCGCAAGATCTCATCAACCGTACGCGAATAGTCTTCGAAACCATTCTCTGGTACGGATTTGAACGTTTGACAGGCAAGGAAATAGCTACCGTTAATTTAGGAGACGTTAACTCGGATTTCTTCGACTCGGACATGTACTGCACCATCCTCTACAACGACGAGATGCATACCTTCGAACAAGTAATCGGTACGCTAGGCAGGGTTTTGAAATGCACTCAAAGAACTTCCACCGAATTCGTGACAAGTATAGACCGGGAAGGAAGAGCGGTCGTGAGATGTGCTTCCTTCCAGATCTGTTCAGAACTACAAGCAGACATCGAAAAGTACACTTCGCGGCATGGAAACAGACCGCTGAAAGTATTAGTTAATCACGCGTACGTGATCGCTCACCAGAATTTCGCGATGAAAGTACTTACGTGGCTTGAAAAGTTCCTAGGTCACGGTAAGGGATTTAGATCGATCTTCACCGAATGTATGATGAGAGCCCCTGGTTCTTGCAAACCGTCTCTGTTAACAGAGGTGATGCTCAACGACTCATCCTTATGGAAAAGTGCCCGAACGCAATGGCACCGATTGCTCATAGCGGGAATGCTGTTAGAGTATGAAAACAAGAAGTCTTTAGCCAAAGTATTCACGAAAAATTACGGGGAAATAATGAAGGATTTTATTCGGGATGATCACGATCACTCGTACTCGATTTCGTCCCTATCAGTGCAGTTGTATACTGTGCCTACTTTGGCGCATCACCTTATAGCTAGCGACGATGTCCTTTTCATTTTGTTGAACACAGTATTGTCGGAGTATAAGAAGAAGCGGAATAAAAACGGGAAATTAGAATTCGAACGCAACTCTACTCTTCATCTTTTGAAAAGGACTCTGGTTATGTTGTATGACTTAAAGTATCTGCTGAGTTTCGTTCCGGAGAAATGGACGGATGACTTGAGAAGAAGTTTTATGCATGGGTTCCATGAATTAACCAGTCTTTTAGTTATGATGCAAGGTAAGTGCTTTTTGTTCCATACAGGGCGTTCGATAAATGCACGGTCACATGTCAAAAGGTGATTCCCCATCAAAAAATATGGAAATAAGTTTGTGTAAATACCGGGTGTTCGGATAGTGGCTTACTCCTATAACTTTTTTATTTTATTTTAGATAAAAATCGAGATTTCGTATATTCTTATATGACATAAACTGGGATTGATTGATGTATTGAGATAGTTTCGGTCACTTCCTGTTTCAATGGAAATGATTATAACTTTTGAATTCTAAATGGTACCCTAGGTATTTTTTTAGTTTGATATATAGGGTGGTCCGAACTGTATTCCGGAAACTTCGGAAGCATATTCTGCAGATAAAAATAAGTAAAAAAGTTCGTATAAATGCATGTCCTAAAATGAATTTATTTCGAATTTTTCTAAATAATTTCTGAAGTAACATCAATATTTGGATGAAAATTGGTGTCTGGGAGTTTTTTGACATGAGAAATTTGATTTTCATGTCAAGATGACTCCTACTAGTAGAGGGCGCCACCTACATGTGTTTTGACTGTTTTGAAGCTTAATAACTTTTTGTCCACACCTGTATAAACCTGTATTACCGAGCGAAAAAATATACATCTATGTGACTTTTTACGTAAAAAATATCTCTTTGTAAAAATCGCTACGTTCTCAAGATATTTAGAATGGAAATAGTCAATACATGTCATTATTGACGAAAAATGAACGCGTTGAGTAGATAGTTATTTCACTGAAATAATAAATTTGGGAAATTTTTATTTTTTTAAATTAATCATAATTTTTTCTGCAAAAAATGACGATAAAACAGTTTCTGTTGAACTTTTAGCACGAAAACATCGAAAATTTATGATTTCAGTCTAATAACTATTTAGTCAACATGTTTAATTTATGTCAATGATGACAGGTATTGATAATTTAGATTCCAAATATCTTGAAAACCATTACTCGTAGCGATTTTTACCAAGAGACCTTTTTCACGTGGAAAACGTCGTAAATGTATATTTTTTTACTTAGTAGTTTTATACAGGTACGGACGAAGAGTTATTACTCTTCAAACCAGTTAAAGAATATGTAGGTGGCGCCCTCTACTAGTACGAGTCATATTCACATCAAAATCAAATTTCTCATGTCAAAAAACTCCCAGACACCAATTTTCATCCAAATATTGACGTTACTTCAGAAATTATTTGGAAAAAATCGAAATAAAAATGAAACTTCTACACCCTGTATCTCCGAAACTAAGCATTTTAGGACATACATTTATACGAACTTTTTTACTTATTTTTATCTGCAGAATATGCCGCCGAAGTTTCCGGAATACAGTTCGGACCACCCTGTATAATGAAGTTATGAATAGAATGACATATCATATGTCAACTTTGACATTTTCGCTTAAAAACAAAGAGTATTTTAAATTTCAATCTAGAGTGCGACGGCAAAGAAGTATAACGACAATTTGAATCCAAATAGCAAGTAGGTATGTGGTACCAAATTATTCGTAAAAATTCAAAATATGATAATAAGCCACCCTTGTTCCATTTCAAAAAATTGAGTTATCATTAAAAATACGTTTGGGGCATTCTTTAACTGGTCTGGAACAGATACGAAAAAATTAGACTATCAAATATATTTTTCTAAGGCTCCTTGATTAAATGTTAGTGATTTTAGCACACTCTAGATTGAATTTTAAAATACCGTATGATCGAAAAAAAACGCCGTCAGCGATGGCTATGAAATAAAGGTCGCTATCATTTTATATGTAAATTTATATGGGTAATGTCATTGTCATTTCCCAGCTAACTGGACGTCGTTATTTTTCGATCATGCGGTACTATTTTTTTTTAATTCAAAATGCCAAAAGTTGATATATGATATGTCATTCTATTCAGAATATAATTTTCTATCAAATTAAGTAAAGAAATGCCTAGGGTACCATTTAAAAATCTAAGTTAAAAAAAATAGTTTTAGTCACTCCCGGTGTAACGTGAAGCGACTAAAACTAACTGAATACGTCAGTCAATTTCGATTTATGTCATATACGAACATACTAAATCTCGTTTTATCTGGAAAAATAAAAAAAATATAGAGGTGAGCTACTTTCGAGAAACACCCGGTATGGGTCCGGAAATGTGTAGTTTTAAAGATACATAAAAACTGTATATAAACTTTTAAAAAAATTTATAAAATGTAGTTTTATCAATATATTCTATATATTGACTGAAAAATGTACGTCACTGACATTTCTTGGAAGTTTAATATTTTTTTGATAAAACAGTTAAAAATAGAACTGTTTTTCTTCTTTTCAATCGTTTTGTATATAGAGAGTTAAGTGCGATTTAAAAAATTAAGTTACTCTTTATTTAATGTTTGGGAAATTATGTGTGGAATATACTACATTATACTGTTAGATGTTTCTAAACTGTATGGAATGTTTGTTACTTTCATTTTAGAATAAAAATGAAATTAACACAAAGATATACAAAGTTCTTTAAAAAACGAGCTGTCTACTTTTCAGAGAGATCAATGAGTCTCATAAATCCCCGAATTTATTTTGATCACTTTGTCAACTGCAGTAATTTATAAATAGTTTTTGGGATTTATTTTAAGAACTCGTTTTTATCTGTAATAGCTTAATCCGGAAATATCTTGAAAAAATCTTTGAAATTTCCTTGAAGTATCAATATAATTTTGCTTTGTGATGTTATATCAATATATGATCGAAAAAAAGTTCGTATTTAGTTCGCGCAAAAAAGGCGTCAGTGATGGCTATGAAATGAAGACCCTGTCATTTTATATATGTATTATGTAAAATTATATATGGGAAATGTTATCGATCAATTCCAAGCCAACTGGATTTTTTTTGCGATAATACGACGGTATAAAAATATCTTCACCATAATAATAAACAATGTTATCAAAGTTAAAATTCTAAGGTTTTTTATTGACACATATTTGTCATTGATCGTGCAACGTCAACTTATTTTCAGGACAACTACGATTTTTCTTATACTCCTAAATAAGAAAGACTAAACATTTAACAGTTAATTATTTGTTTTATTTTTGTATACATTAACTTATTTATGTTCAAACTATAAATAATATACAGGGTGGTCCGAACTGTATTCCGGAAACTTTGACAGCATATTCTGCAAGTAAAAATAGGTAAAAAAGTTCGTTTAAATGTATGTCCTAAAATGCTTAGTTTCGGAGATACAGGGTGTAAAAGTTTCATTTTTATTTCGATTTTTTCTAAATAATTTCTAAAGTAACGTTAATATTTGGATGAAAATTGGTGTCTGGGAGTTTTTTGACATGAGAAATTTAATTTTGATGTCAATATGACTCCTACTAGTAGAGGGCGCCACCTACATATTCTTTAACTGGTTTGAAGAGTAATAACTCTTCGTCCGTACCTGTATAAAACTACTGACTAAAAAAATATACATTTCCATGACTTTTTACGTAAAAAATGTCTCTTGGTAAAAATCGCTACGTGCAACCTTTCTCAAGATATTTAGAATGGAAATAGTCAATACATGTCATTATTGACAAAAAATAAGCATACGTTGAGTATAGTTATTTGACTAAAATAACAAAATTTTTTTTTTTTTAATTAATCATATATTTTTCTGCGAAAAAATGATGATTAAAGAGTTTCTGTTGAAAAAAGATTTCAATTTTTTGATTTCAGTCTAATATCTATTTAGTCAACATGTTTAATTTATGTCATTGATGACAGGTATAGATAATTTCGATTCCAAATATCTCGAAAACCATTACTCGTAGCGATTTTTACCAAGAGACCTCTTTTATGTGGAAAAAGTCCTAAATGTATATTTTTTTTTTACTCAGTAGTTTTATACAGATATGGACGAAAAATTATTACTCTTCAAACCAGTTAAAAATATGTAGGTGGCGCCCTCTACAAGTAGGAGTCATATTGACATGAAAATCAAATTTATTTTGTCAAAAAACTCCCAAACATCAATTTTCTTCCAAATATTCACGTTACTTCAGAAATTATTTGGAAAAAAATCGAAATAAAAATGTAACTTCTACACCCTGTATCTCCGTAACTAAGCATTTTAGAAAATACATTTTTACGAACTTTTTTGCTTATTTTAATCTGCGGAATATGCTGCCGAAGTTTCCGGAATACAATTCGGACCACCCTGTATATCGTAGTATTTTTAAATCATAAAGTTATTGCAGTGATGTAATTAATACAAATCCTTTCGACGATAAAGTAAATATGTTGTTTTATTGTTTGTGAAAAGTAAACTTAAATACTCTCAAATATATGGTATAATTTTAATCAAGGAAATTCATTAAGTTAACTTTAGATTCACAACCTTTAGATTCATGCTTAAATCGTTAAAAATCTAAATTATAATTAGAGGTCAAGGTAGAGATGGAATTATCGTTTTCATTTTAGAGTGAAACATTCAACTAAATCATGTCTTTCAAATTAATTTCAATATCATTAAAAGTGTTTGTTTAGTTCCAAATATATAAAAAAATATAAGAAAAATTTTAGTTATCATTTGCAAATATTATTTAGTAGCAATTTTAATGTATTAAATTCATATTGATACTTGATAAAGTAATTTAAATATTTTTATACTTGTAGAAGTTAAATAAACAGATAATCTTGATAAATTACACATTCTTGTTTTAACAGTGATCTTTACAGGAATTTCAATTATTTCTATTTTTGTATAAAAAAAGTAATTTTCGGTAATGCAGCGTAATGAATGATAAGCTATCACAGCGTTTAAATAGTTATTTAATTATTCCGTGAACCGGAATAAGAGCTGCCAGTTACGGAACTGTAAAAAATCTTTCTGTTAACTATAAATACTGGCTCAAAATATTCATTCATAAAATTATATTTTCTTTTCTATTTCTATTCAGTATATCAATATTTCAGGCATGGATTCGGTGACCAGACAAGTAGGACAGCATATGGAATTTGAACCAGAATGGGAATCTGGGTTCAATCTCCACATTAAACTAGCTTCCTGCATTTCGTACATAATAGAATGGTGCGCTGCGGACAAAGTCGTTCTAGTAAAAGCGTATAGATGCATATTAAAGTACCTAAACGAAAACCCGTGTTACGAACCGAACGAGCCCTTAGAGGTCAGGGAGTTAGCGGATCACGGTACTGCCTGTCTACATTACGACGTGTCTTCGAAACCTGTGTCGATACATTTACCTTTGACCAGACTGCTAGCCGCACTACACCTGCATTTAGAGAAGTTCGGTTTACATTTCGATAGTACCGAGGTACACGTACCGGGACACACTCCGACTCCCGTCCAGATTATCGAACCCGTGCTCAGGACTCAAGTCATGATCGCCCAGGTGCACTCCGGAATGTGGAGGAGAAACGGCTACGCTCTCTTGAATACGTTATATTTCTATCACAACGTGAAATGCAGAACTGAAATGTTAGATAGAGACATTAATTTGCTTCAGATCGGCGCTTCGTTGATAGAAAGCAACGAGTTCTTAATTCACTTACTGAATAAATTTAATTTAATCAATTGGGCGTTACCCGATTTCGAAATGATATCTATCAAATCGCCCGAAGAGGACAGTATGCGACAGACCATTAATCTGGTAGAGGAATTCTTGCACCTTTTGATCGTGGTTATAGGCGAAAGACACATGCCGGGAGTGAGTCACGTATCGAACAAAGACCGAGTGAAGAAAGACCTGCTACACGCTCTCTGCATCAAGCAATCGCCTCATTCCGAACTAGTCAAAACCGTTTCGGACGACCTGGATAACGAGACGGACATCGTCGATACCGTCATCCACGAAATAGCGAAGTTTAACGAGCCCTTACGATTGAGTAACGCGAAGGGAACGTACGAACTTCTTCCCCAATATTACGACGAGTTCAACGTTTTCTTTTATCATTATACTCGGGAAGAAATGTCCAAGGCTGAAGTAGCGCAAAGGAGAAGACGGAAGGAAAATGGCGAAATAGAATGCTGCCCTCCGCCCCAACTTCCAAAGGTGTGCGATTCTTTCAACATGCTGGTCAACCTGTTGCAGTGCGACGTTATGCTGCACGTAATACAAACGGTTTTCGAAAGGTGTCTAAATTTGAGAGCTAGAAGTTTTTCCGAGAATCAGTTGTACAGGGCACTGCACCTAGTTGGCTATGGTCTTCAAGAAGAGGAGACGGGTCACTATCCATTTTTCCGATTTATCGAGAACGCTACAAAGTTTAAAATTTTCGAACTAATGGAATCTTTACTGAAATGTCCCAGGGTTGATGCTCATAAAGGATTACTGCAATGGACCCTGAAGAAGTATCATCAGATAACTAATATGGAAGTTGGTAAGTGAAATGTTTAAATCTGTTATAATTTTATATTTTATTATTTATGTGTAATACTGATTATAAATTTACATACACTTGAAAAGAGGTTAAAAAATGAAATTAGATTACCTTTTGACATATTGTTATCTGGATATATCATTTAAATTTATCTATTAAAACATTTTATTTGCTTGTTTTCACTATAAATACATTTTGTATCAGTTATTAAATATAATTTGATATTTTAAATTTTTAAATTCAAAAAAATTATATTTTTAAAAACTACAATTCAACATACCGGGTGCGTCTCAAAAATGGCTCACCCCTATAACGTTTTTATTTTTTCGGTTTAAAAAAACGAGATTTGGTATGATAGTACATATATGACATAAATTAGGATTGATCGACGTATTCAATTGTTTTTGGTCACTTCCTGTTTCACCGGGAATGGCTACAACTATTGATTTTTAAATGGCACCATCGGTCAAATACGTTTAAATAAAATATACGACGGCCTCCCCATAAGAGCAATGAGAGAATCTACGTCCCAGTATTGAAGGACAGAAAATCGAGTCGAATGGTTTCAAGACATAGGTTCATCCTTGTTTAGTCAAACCTCCTACAACACAAGGATAGACTTATGTTGGAAATGCATTGAAATTCTATAGCCATCCTTCACTATCGGGACAGGAATTTAAGCGGTACCCTCCGTATACTTTATTTTAAACGTATTTGCCATCGGTATATTTTTACTTTATTCGATAGTAAATGACACTCTGAATATAATGACAAATTATATGTCAACTTTTGACATTTTCGCTTAAAGACAAATCTATTTTAAAATTCAATCTGGGGTGCCAAGGCTGTGTTAAAAACACTAATTGTCAATCAAGGAACCTTGGAAAAATAGTTTTGATCGTCTAATGTTTTTCGTGTCTTGTCCTGGCCGGTTAAAAAAGGCCCAAATCGTATTTTTAATCATATCTCAATTTTTTTAAATGGAACAACTGTGGTTCATTAGCATATTTGAAAAAAGCATTTTTTTACGAATAATTTTGTACCACACACTTGGTATTTCAAGTCAAATTGTCGTTATGAACTGCATGTTACAATTTCAATTAAATCATATTCGAAAATGTCAAAAGTTGACATATGATATGTCATTCTATTCAGAGTGTCATTTTCTAATCAAAAGTTTGCCATTTAAAAATCAAAAGTTTAGTCATTTCCGGTGAAACAGGAAGCGACCAAAAACAATTGAATACGTCATTCAATCCTAATTTATGTCATAAACTAACATATATTTAAATCTCGTTTTTTTTATCTGAAAAAATCAAAAAGTTATAGGGGTGAGCCACTTTTGAGATGCATCCAGTATAAGCAGTGTTTTAACATATTTTTTTTTAATTTTAAAAAATAATTTCATATTTTTTTATAATTTTCCTTAAATGTTTAACCTGCAGATCAAATCAATGCGTGTAGGGCCTCTTTTAGTCTTTTTATTTAAAGGTATTTGAGGATAATCTTTATAGTATTTTTATTACATTATTACTCTTTATTTGTTACTTATTGAACATTTTAAATAATAAATCGATTTTATTATTTAAATGTTCAATAAGTAATAAATATAGAGTAATATATTTTTTATTGCAAATAATGATTGAATATATTTTTGATTGCAACTCTTGTTAGTTTCATTAGATATCCAAAAAGATTCCGGCGCGACCGAAGAGTCCGACGTTAGCGAAAAAGAAAGGAGAGCCAAGCTAGCCGCTAGCAGAAGAGCTAAAATTATGGCTCAGTTGGCAGCCCAACAGAAGAATTTTATTAAGGAAAACGCCGAACTGTTTGAAAGTACAAGTATGGAAACTCAGTCTGGAAAAGTGAGTGAAAGTTGCGAAATGGAAGTGACCGAACTACAAACTGTAGCCCTAGGACCGAATCAGTCTTCGAGAATGTCGGTAGAAGAAAACTACACTTGTATATTGTGTCAGGAAGAAGAACGTGTTACCACCACCGGCACGACTATGGTTATGGCCGCTTTCGTTCAACAAGCGACAGTGCTATGCAAGAACAAATCATTCGACGTATTAGCCGCCGCACAAAATCATAATCCTCTATTTCTACATTCAAACAGAGGTCCAGCACCTTACACCAGTACCTGTGGACACGTGATGCACCGCGATTGTTGGAGAAAGTTCTTTGATAACGTTATGATTAGGGAACATAGAAGACCCTACAGGTTACGTCATCCATCAAGTTTTGACGTAGACAAGCAGGAGTTTTTATGTCCTCTATGTGAATGTCTAAGCAACACTGTCCTGCCTTTAGTTCCACCATTAAACAACCTGCAGCCTAGCCACCCCAGGAACGATATACCTTTCGAAGATTTTCTCTTGTCCCTTCAAAAAATCATCGCCAAGAAAAACAAAGTTTGTCATGGTATATTTAAATGTAACATGGAAGAGTGTAAGAACATTCATTGTACTGCCTGTGTAAACGCCTCGAGCGGCACCAGCATTGAGCCAGACACAATAGACGAATGTGAAATGAATTGTATCTTACAGGCTCATCAAGTGTTTTACTCCACGCCCGTTGAGAAGAGCGATACTGATCTTAATGAGGACTTTAAAAACTTGTTTTATGAAAATAAAGTGAGAATAAGTTCAGTACTTAAGGAAATGTTGCACATGTTTGCTCAGCTTACTTACACTAGAGGGTTGAATGTTAGCCCACATCCGTCTGATAAAAGACTAGCACCTATGGCCTGGAAATCACTTGCATACACTATTCAAGCTATAGAGGTTGTAACCCATTACCAAAACAAACCACTTTTAGGGTCCCTGACTAGTAGACAGAGAGATTGTCTAGGAAACTTTGTCAAAGTTGTTGCTGTGCTAGGTACTACATGGACTAAGAATGTAGTAATTAAAAGTCACGCTCTCAACTTACTTAGTATTTTGTTTGACCATCCAACTAGCGGTCCGTCACTTTTTGACTTTGATTGCTTCAGTTTCTTAGTATCTTTAACTTATTCACTACCCACAATATTAGTAGAGTCGTTTGCCCCCATTCCTACTGGAGGCACACTGGAATGGCATACTCTTAAGTTAATATTTGTAATTAATACTATTAAAAGCCTGTTGTATCTTTGGCCAGACGATGTTGCTTCCGAGACAGATGCTGAAAGGAACAATGTTATAGATATGTTACTAGTATCAGTAGGCAAATGGCGTAAAGACGTGTGTGCCAGAAAAGTGTGGGATTATATTACGGATCGTTCCAGGCCATTCTTAAGATCTTGTGTTTTATTTTACCATTATCTGACCGATGTGTCCGCTCCAAATAATCTGCAAGAAGTAGGTTGCGACACTTTCGAAAATATGTGCGCTTACCTAGATCTACCGACAAAACCAGAAGAACTCTTTAATTCTCCTTTCTTGCAAGAGTTAATTAATAAATGGATGAATCATCAGGAAATAATAAACTTCAAGAAAGATAGTCAAAATGTTCGAGTGGATGAACCCACGCTGATACCCGAATTGCATAAGCTTCCGTCCGATTATAGTGAACTAATAAATTCGGTTTCGACGTTCTGCTGTCCTAATAGCCAAGAGGATTGTCGAAATCCCACGATGTGCTTGGTATGCGGGGCCATCTTGTGCTCGCAGAGCTATTGCTGTCAAGCAGAGTACAACAAGGTTTCGGTGGGAGCTTGCAACTACCACGCCAGCGTATGTGGGGCGGGAGTAGGAATGTTTTTGCGGATAAGGGAATGTGAATTACTGCTGTTAGCTACGCCTCTCAGAGGTTGTTTTCTTTCGCCCCCATATCTGGATGAACATGGCGAGACTGATCAGGGTTTAAGACGTGGGAATCCCCTAAAATTAAACAACGAGCGATACGAAAAGCTCCACATGATGTGGCTGAATCATAGCATTCACGAAGAAATAGCTAGGCAAATAGAAACAAACAATCATATAGTTTCCACGCCGTGGAGTTTGTTGTAAACCAAATTCTGATTAAATAACTCTCTCTCTTTACACGTCCTTTTTATTGTATAAATCTGACAGTTTTACGGGTTTTCAATTATTTAAGACACGAATTATTGAAACGATTATTGTGATCAAAATACTGTTCTAGTTATTTATCCAGGCAGTTTTTCCGATTGTAAATTACATCACATTTAAGAGAGAAATATTATCTACTACTAAAACTTTATCTGATATCTACTATAGATATTATAATTATATTAGCTTTACTGGTCATTCTAAACATTTAAATATTTAATATTTAAAGAAAACATGTTTTGTTTCTTTTTAAAGGCAAAACTTAATCTAAATGATCTGGTTATACTGAATATTTTACGTCATCGCTTAGCAACTGACTTGCCATTAATTTAAATAAAACAGAGAAAATATTAATTTCTGAATATTTAGTAATTGTGTAATTATTTCATGTTTTTGCTTCATGTATTTGAAATGTAATCTGAGAAAAAAGCCTGTAGATACGTTAATAGCAAATCTAAAGTTGACTCCTTTGCTTTTATGACAATAGCTGTTTTTCTGGAAGTTATGATTTTGATGTCAGAGAGGGAACTATATAATAACAAATATATACCTGTAGGCGATATCGATCAAAACCTGATTAAAATGCTCGTAAAATGAGTGGTGTAAATTATTTTGGTGTGTATTAATATTTAAATATATTATATCGTTAAGCAGTAGGTGTTTATGTTAAAAATTCTAGAGATTAAAATTGTAAATATCTATTGATATAAAATAAAACCGTTTTTTGTTCAAAGTATCTATTAATTTCTAGATTCCTCATAAAACAAATATTTCAGAAATAGATGAAATCTACTGTTAAAGCCCTGTCTAGACAATGTTTTATTTGTTCAGTCAATACGTTCACCTTGCTTTTAGACGAAAAAACGGACCGTGAAAAAAAATCTTGAACTGAATTAAGTGGAAAGGCCGTCTAGAAATCTGTGACGTGATCATACGGGCTGTATAGGCTTGGTGCAATCTCCACCGGTGCTGCCACCATCGGAGAATATCGTAAACAACTAGTATATACAAATACACAGGTTTAAATAGCGAGTATACGAAAAATGTATTATTTAATTATTCTAAAAGTGTCAGGAAGTATAATTTGTGAAAATTCTAAAAATAGAAAGTAAATATATATTTTCATATCTTCAGAAGGTCTAACTTATATTATAATAAAAAAATGTCTATACCTATGTGGCGGATTCATCTTTCCAAAAAAATCGTTTATGGGTATTTCGCCACTGCACTGCAAGAAAATCTACAAAATAAAATAATTATTTTTAACAGAACTTCCAACGGTTTCTTGTAGACGTATCTGTTTTAAAAAAGTAAAGTGTTCTCGAATAGTTGAATTTAAATATATTAAATAGTTTTTTTTCTTTATTCTTTGTATATTTTTTTTGCTCCCGACGCGACGACGGAAAGAGATAACTTTCCGAAACATTAAGGATTTTTTTCTTTGTTAGGCAGATTCGTATTACTGTAAACATAACTTCTGACAAGCAGCGTCCGTTTAGGTTTAACGCAAAAGTGTTTACAAAAAATAATTATTTTATTTTGTATTATAATTTATTATTCCGGTTAAAAAAAAATTTAGATGAGTTCAACTACGGTAGCGAGCATAGTTTTAATCACCGGTTTTGCTAGTGGGGCATAATTGGGGCTATTTCGGCCATAACGGAATTTTTGAAGGTACATAATTATAATTTTAGGAGATGTTTATAAAACATTTAGTCACTGGTTGATTAAAGAAAGTATACCATTAAGACTGCAAATTATATTTTATGCTCTCATAGTATATTGCAATTTGTTTACTCACTTGTTCCGTCGAACTGCTTGAATCCATTTTTGCTTTTGATCAAATAGGTGTGAGAAACTATGAAGCTATAAAATGTTTCGGGAGAGTTAAATATCGGGGTAAGTTGTGTTATTGAATGTTATTGCACCCAACAACGCAACGCCCTAATTACGCTCTCCTTTACGCGATAAATTTTTTCGGCAATTTTATTAACATTTGAAATTGTCACAACACAACACGACGCCTAGTTCGATTTTTTTCACTTATTTTTTACTAGCCGAAACAGCGCTACATCACACAAACTTCGTACTTGAGTGCTTTTTAGTCTCAATAACTACACTAGCAAAAAACTAAAATACTTAAATATTATGACAAAACCACGATTTCAATATTATTTTAATGCAATCAACATGAACTGTAACCTGGACAGCGTGAAACACATAGCGAAAATTTCTGATTTCTGCCGTATAGAGCGCCGCGGTCGGAATTTTTCGAAATCAACTGAAATGCGCCAAGGCTATAAAAATAAAGTTTAGACCATTCCCATTAATATATTTTTGTAGTAAAATTCCATGTTTTTGTAGCTTCACCAAACACAATGCTATAATTTATAAACCGCGGGTTAAAATTCCAGTGTATTTGCTAGTCTTTAATCTGCCTTACCTTATTGATAATCTTACGTCTTGACCGACCTAGGACAGAAAACCGTCTACAAAACTGCCGTCATTTTTCTAGATTGTCTTTCGTTTTCTCCGACAGGTAAAACGATATATGTGGACAAGGCTTTACTGTATCTTCGCGTCATGTTTCAGGAATAAATCAAATTAAAATATATTTTACAAAACAAAATTTACTCATACCATTTTGATTTTTTAACAACATTATTATCCAGAATTTTTCTATAGTCGTTTACTAACTTAGAGAAAGTATCATCTTTCGTTTTATTCACAATTTTCTGCTTTGGCTGTTTAGTAAAATCTTTTCTTCGTTCCGACAGTGGCTTCTTGGTCATCTTATTTTTCTTTTTCTCTTTTTTCACATTTTCGTAATGCATTTTTGCCTGTACGTTCAGTTTATATCGACTCCTCATTTTCTGGACGGCACCCTCTTTGCTAGTGATACCTGCGAATGGTTTTACTTCAGAACTAGATTCAGTAGCCAACTTGGTGTTGTCTTTTTGGACTAAACTCGGATCAAACTCTTTTGATTTCGGATTTTTTAACTTGGATTTTTGTTGGCGTTTCGTTTTGGCATTTAATGCGGATTTGTTTTCTATACTGAACGTAATAATAGGTCGTTTTTGTGGTGAAAATATATTTGGATTATTATTTAATGATCGTAGTGCTTCTAATGCATTCTCGTGCTTCGTAAATGCTACAAATCCATATTGTTTTGACTCGCCTATACCATTTGCATCCAATTTTCTCAAATTACGCATTATTCTAGCTTCCCTTACAACGGCGTCTTTACCACCATGTTTTTTGAATAACATGTTTAATTTTCTATCGTCCCAAGTGGCGGGTAAGTTATGTACTACTACTCTATCTCTCGATACAAATGTATTTAAATTTCTTAACATTTGAGTTTTGTATTGTTCAATTTGTAAGCGTTTGGTCATGTCGCTTTGAGATACTCCTTCAGCTGCTTTTGTTCCCGCCAAAATAACTAAAAATTACAATTATTAGTAGTTTTGTAATAGAGAACGTTTCCATTTGTGACGAGGGAACGTCCACCATTTTTTTTTTTCGAGAATAATAAGAAATAACCAGAAAATTCAGAACAAAATTTCAACCACTTTATTAAATTCAGCCCATTTTGTTTGAGCTAATTATAAATTCTCAACATTGCTTCTTTTTCAAACAGAGGCCCTTTTAAAAAGAAACTAGTCTCATTAATGTAGAATCGAAAAACAAAATGGTTGAATGGTGAGCGATGCCCATATAACAAATCACAGTCTAGGCCAAGTCTGGGCTAATTATAAGAATATGCAGTGTCGGGCATTAGCGCGTCGGGTATCTGTAGCTCCTAGAATAAAAAACTTGGGCATTTTGCTTAAATGCAAACCTAAAGTATGTAGTAGGATGTTTTTCAGGAAAATATTTTATCTTCTATATATAGAGTGGCTCAAAAAAGTGTGAGTGGAACGTCGGGATGATTTTTTTTAAATGGAACACCCTTTATATTATTGCATTTTTCTTTTCCTTTCATATCACTTTACATAATCCCAAGATATGAGTAAATATATTTCGATAGTTTCAAAGATATTACCTTCATTAAGAACTGTCCTGAAATCAAAACTATCTTAGGTATTTACTTCAGATGGTCTGTACTTAGTTTGCTATAAATATGGTAATTGTAAGTCATACTGGATGTTTAAAATTCTACGCTAAACTTTCTAACATAACATATAAAATATCTTTTCTTTGTTTTTTTTTAAATGGAACACCATAAACCAGTAACTTTTTTTCAATAGATGGGGAATTAAAAAATGAACATTTCAAAATTTTTAACGGTTTTGCAAATATTCCCGGTTTTATATTTCATATTACATTTTCCACGGTAAATTTTTATCAAAAGCACCCAATGATTTTTCTCGTATTTTACCGTTGAAAGAGCCATATGAAATAATACTTGATTGTATCTGCGAAACCATTAAAAAAAATTAAATATTTTAAATCGGACGCGCGTTTCGTTAACCATGTTAGCACCATCAGCAGATGATTAAAACTACTTTTGGTGTATTGTGGTGATTTAGTGTTTTATTTTGCTGTGTAACACCAAAGGTTCCAACCCCCCACTGTAATACATTAAATGCAAAAAATATTTAATTTTTAACTCTCCGTTTAATAAAAAAATAATATAGAAGGTGTTCTATTTAAAAAAAAACAAAGAAAAAATATTTTATAATTTAAAAAGTTTAGAGTAAAATTTTGAACACCCTGTATGATTTAAGATTACGATATTTATAGCAAAGTAAGGATAGACCATCTAAAGTAAATACCTAATATAGTTTTGATTTCAGGACAGTTCTTGTATTTGTAATAGGTTGGAAAATATATTTTTTTGTTTATTTATTATCTCTGAAAAGGAAGTCAAAAATGCAATAATATACACGTTATTTCATTTAAAACAAACCATCCTGATCCACTCACACTTTTTTGAGCCATCCTATAGGCTACAGATGCCTGACATACTATTGCCGAACCCTGTTCGGGGCAACTTTGGACAAAACAGAAGGCAACAAATGAAATCAGCAAAAAAAGAAAAAATTGTGAAAACACCAAAAAAATACTGTTTTTTTTTCTTACCTCCTTCCTTTACCAGATACAAATTTCTTGTGTCTCTAGGTCTCGACTTTTGATCCTTTTCAGATTGAATTTTATGTTTCAAATCATTTCGATCTAAGGCAGGGTGACAGTCTAACACATTCCCTAATAAAGTTAATTCAGTTCCAGCAGTTAGAGCTTTCTCAGCATCTTCTTTGTTCTAAAAATGTATCACTAGAATAATTTAAATAAAATACACAGTATATAACTAAAAATAAGTGCAATAAAATTAAAGGAGTGACAAATAAATTCTGCTGGAATATTTTATTATAATTTCAATATTTCCAATAGATTTTCAAACATTTTGATATTTAATACAGATGTTTTCTTTTTTTTTAATTAAAACACTTCCAATTTTTTGTTGTTTATACTTGCACTCTGAATTTTGAACATACCTACCACAAATTTAACAAATGCGGTACCTTTGGAATGCTCTGTTATTTTGTCAATACAGACCAATGCATAAAATATAGGGCCATATTGTGATAAACAATTCTTGAGATCTTCATTGGTTGCATCAAATGGTACATTTTTTATAAAAACCGTTCTGCCCTCAGAAACGTCATGAGACATAAACGGTCGCCTATCATTTGTTGTAGAATGCAAAGACGACTTATCTATATCAACCTCTGGGTCCAAGTCTTCTGGTTTATTTTCCAGTTTTACTAAAATATCATTTTCATTGAGAGTCTCACTCTTTATTTCAACTTCTTCCTTTTTTATTTCGTCTTTAATGTCAATCGTGGTTTGTTTTTTGTAGAGCTTTTTGGGTTTGGCAATATCTACTTTTATGTTTCGACCCAGAAATGGCTGATTATTTGTATAGTGTTGTGCCTTCCTTGCAAACTGTACCAACTGAAATTGAACAAAAGCACATCCAACAAGTTTACCGTCGGGCTTCTTTAAAACTTCAACATTTGTTACTTCTCCGTATTGTTGAAAGTGTTCTCGTATACTTTCCTCTGTCGCTTTGAACGACAAGTTTCGTACCACCAATCTGGCCCGCTTATGTTTAAGTAGATCCTTCGCTTTTTTTTGATCTACAAAAGGTCTGCTCTTAGATTTTTTAAACTTCGAAAATTTGGCTTTCTTTCCATCTTTATTTGTAAGTATTAGTGTATCTACAAGGTTAACATTAACAAATGACCTATGAAAAGGAAAACTACGAAATTGTTACCTTGCTTAGTCTTCATAATTAATCTTTCGTGACTTTTAAAATATTTTATAGTTTACTTAAAATTATCAAAACAAAGGTTTTTAACATGTTTTTAACCTAACTTTTCCCACGTTGTGTCTGACAACAGTGACAGAAAAGAAAAATTATTTATTTTGGATTGCCCTGGCAGCTGTAGCCATAAAACCAACTTTGAACCAACTAAATGGTCCGTGAATGACGTAAACTATCACATGAAAATGGCCATTATTTAACTCTATCTAAACTGATTTATTTACCCAGTCCATCCATTATCCACAGAAAATATGAAAAAAAATCCAATTTACTGTCTTCTGTGGATGTAAGATAACCTAAATCCCAAAAATTCAAAGTAACCTAGACAAAATACGGTAAAATTTGTGTTTGATTCTTTTATATAGCTTTAATTAATAATTATGGCTGAAGGTAAATATTCGTTTTCTTCTCTTATAAATAAGGTCACATTTTTACCCACTTAGTGATTTTAAAAATGGCTTGTAGCTTTACCAGATATTTCTCCAACATGCTTTATAGCTGAAGATGAAGATTCCGATGAATGGGACGAAATGGAACCGCCTGGAGAACAAACGACTTGTCTCTTTTGTTCTTTACAATTTCACACTATTGCAGTTGCTTTGGATCATTGTCGTACCGCTCATAATTTTGACTTACTTGCATTAAAAAACAAGTATAATATGGATTGCTATTCGTATATTAAAATGATCAACTACATCAGGTTACAAAAGCCTGATCCAACAGTCCTTTTAAATTCTACAATTGCACTATGGGATGATGATTGTTACCTTAAACCAGGAGAAATGGAACCTTGGTTAATGTATGGTAAGATTAGTCATGACTAACTAGAGGTCCTAGTTTACTTTAATGGTTTAATTATAGATTTTGATGATCTGGGAAGTGCTCCTTCAACTCCACATTATGCAGTTGATGGAAAAACCCCGATAAGCAACTTAAACTTTGCTGAATTGCAACAGCATATACATAATCTCAATTTGCAAGTAAAAAATTGAATAAATTAATTAATTGAAATTTATTATTTTATGGAGAGTTTTTTTAGCTAAAACAGAGGGACATGCTAATTGAGAGCTACCAAAAGGATATGGATAAAATGAAACAAATAACCAGGACTCTAGTTGACACGGCAGATTCTAAAACGAAAGAATTTTCCTTAGATAATAAACCTTTAGTAACAGATAGTACAGATTACTTTAATTCCTATGCACATTTTAGTATTCACTATGATATGTTAAATGTATTTAATAAGTTACCTACAAAGAAAATAAACATTTCTGAAGTATTTTTTTTAGGACAAAGTAAGAACTGAAAGTTACAGGGATGCCATATTGAAAAATTCAGATTTATTTAAGGACAAAACGGTTCTTGATGTTGGTTGCGGAACAGGAATATTGTCAATGTTCTCTGCTAAAGCGGGAGCTAGCTCAGTATATGGCATTGATCAATCTGAAGTTGTTTATAAGGCAATGGACATTATTAGGTAAGTTAAATGGTTGAAAACAAATCACAAATATTTAATATATATAGATTTGCCATTAAAGTCCCATTCTAAAAATATTATAATTAAAAACTCCCAATATAGAAAAACAACCTTAAACCAGAAACCTGATTCGATTTCAAATATCTTCATTTAAGGTTTATTTGCATTTAATCGACGCGTTTGAAAGTTATTAAAGGTTAAAGTTTAACTTCAAATTGTATATATGATAATAAAATATGATACTTTATGTTTTTGAACCATTATTTTGTGATGAAATATAAAAAATTGTGGAAATTATATACAATTTGAAGTTGAAATTTAACCTTCAGTAACTTTCATACGAGTCAATTAAATGAAAATTCATATCAGACCTTTTTTGAAGACAGTTGAATTTCCTACAAGAACATGTATTTTACAAAACGGTGATTCATAAGGAGAAGAACACAATAAAATTAAAAAAAAATTGTTTCTCTGTGTTATTTAAACGGGAAATACCAAATCACAATGAGACACATCTTAATATTAATATTAAAAGCTCAAACTTTACCAGAATTTTTGTTCATCATTTTTGCCACTAGACAGGAAATATGTTTACAGAATTGCACTGCTGTTTAATATAGAATATGTAAATAATCTTGGTTATATATTATGACATCTATTTTTTATCAGATATATTAATTAAACTATTTTTAAGAGAAAATAATTTACAAGACACAATTCATCTTATTAAAGGACAATTAGAAAAAACTAATTTACCTGTAGAAAGAGTAGATATTATTGTCTCAGAATGGATGGGCTACTTTTTATTGTTTGAGGGAATGTTGGACAGTGTTCTTTATGCAAGAGACACATATTTAACTAAGGGAGGCACAATTGTTCCCAATAAATGCACAATTAGTTTAGTGGGAATATCTGATCCTGGTAATTTGTAATAAATCAGTGATGATAGAGTTTAATTTTAGTAGTATTAATAAGAATAATATTTTAGTAAGATATTCTAATCTTTTGGACTTTTGGGATGATGTTTATGGATTTAGCATGAAATGTATGAAGCCAGATATTTTACAAGAGGCTGCAATAGAAACTGTCCCTAAAGATAAAATACTAACAGAGTCGGCTGTTGTAGCTGAAATAGATCTGATGACTTGCTCGACAAATGTTTGTAATTTTAAGAAAGACTTTACTCTAACTGCTTTAAGGAATGGAACTTTAACATCAATAGCTGGCTATTTTGATACAATTTTTGATCTTCCTGTAGAAGTAAAATTTTCCACTGGACCCGAGTCGGAGAAAACTCATTGGCAACAAACTATATTTTATCTTAAGGATCCTGTTGAACTCAAAGAAGGTAAAAAAACTTGATTGCTTGGTCACAAAATATCTTAACTATGCAGAAGCTACAGTTAGCGTCTGCTGTTTGAAGTAGGTTTCCTAAAATGTTTGACCTTGAAGGTGCATCATATTATTTTGAGGGTTAAACACACTTACGGTGAAAAAAATATCTAGATTTTTATTAATTTTTTAATTAACTGAGAAGGATGATTTCTTTATAATACAGGGTGACCCCTCTCATACGATGTGGAGGCTTCAAGGGGGACGTATGTAGGTTAATTCAGAGTACTTTTCAAAAATAGAGATTTCTACAGGGTGTCCCCAAAAAAAGTTATATATCAAAGTTGTGTTTTTTGTAACGGAACACCCTATATATTAATTGCTTTTTCGGATTCTGGGAGAAAAATAAAGGTGAGTTTTATAAGACTAGTATATGACTAAAATGTAAGGTTTTTGGCATATTTAACATTTTCTAAAAATAAAGAACAATTTTTAAATTACAATAAAAGCTACCTAAATTGTAATTTACCCTGTATAGCCTAATATGTAGTTAAATTAACTATTGTACTTTAAATGTATTAAAACTTGATCCATAAAAAGTATACAGGGTGAGACAAAATTAATATTGAAAATTGGTCACCTTTAAAAGCAAGTGACTCTTTTATTTTAAATGGAACACCCAGTATATTATTCCGATATTCAATGGAGAATTCATGTTTCTTCAAATACTATTAAGGTTTCCTACATACAAGGTGGCCCATAGAAAACGTACCGCAAGGCATAACGGCCAGGGTATTTATTTTTTCAAAAAATCCAAAAACACGTCAATTTTGTTTGTGAGGGGGACAACTTTTGCCCCAAAAATGATTGCAAAATATTCAACCCTCTAAGCGGGGGTGTCATCCCCCAACTTTTGTCAAATGGAAAGGGGGTCAAGTGGCGTTGCAATGAAAAGAGCTTTCTATTCTCTATATTTCCCCGCTTCGTTTTTGAAAATCGGTCGAGTCATTGAGAAAATATGAAGGATTGAAATTTGAAAAGTTTATTTAAGCATTTATCAGAGTAAATGATAATTAAGGATAAATTCGACCAATTTGCTGTTTTTTCTTATTATTTCTAGATGTTTACGCATTTTTTACTTGCCACAACGTTGAACGATCAGGTGCGGTAGTTGCTAGATAGCTGTTCTGTGACTTGTACGTTGAAGTTCTTCTCAATATCGTTAAACTGACCCACAATAGAATTTCCAAAAATTACCATCCCACGCGTTCAATTTCTGAGGGTTTTGTGTGTGCACCTTGTGAAAGACCCTGGGGTTGTCCTCAGCCCAGTACCGACAGTTGTGCCGATTAATTACACCGTTCAAAAAGAAAGTACACTCATCCGAAAAACACACATTAAATAGGAAATTATTATCATTCGCCACTCGTTCACTCATAGTTTCACAAAATTGCAAGCAACAATCAAAATCGTCTTCGTTGAGTTCTTGTACCACCTGAATTTTGTATGGGTGGAACTTGTGTTTTTTTAATATCCTTTGGAAACTTGTACGATTCCCGCCGGTCTCATTGGCTAATTTTCTTGTACTCAGAATACTGTCCATGGGAACTTGGCCCAATACGAATACCTCCATAGCTTCATTTACTACAGGATTTTCCCTCTGCCTCTTTTTATTCATAACGGAACCAGTTTCGCGAAATTTTGCTACTAACTGGCGAACAATTTTGCCATAAAGGTGTTTGTCAGGAACCCGATTGCAAACATCTAGAAATAATAAGAGAAAATAGAGACTCGCTCGGTTTATATTCAATACTAGAATTTAAAGGACTAATATAAAATACAGGGTTGTTCACCACATACGACACGGAGTATTGTAGCTAAACGATGAGATTTTTACAAATTGTAAGTTTGGGGTTCGTTGAAGGACTATTAGAGCTACAATTTAAAAATATTTTTACAAGATACAGAGTGTCCCAAATAAATAAAAAATATCAAAGTAGTATTTTTTTAAATGGAACACCCTGTATATTATTACATTTTTAGTTTCTACGATTAAAATAAAGGTAAATTTGATTAAGGTTTATTATACTTAAACCTGACCGTTTTTGAAATATTTTCAATTTTGTGAAATTGCAGTAAAAATTTTAAAGCTTCAATTCTCCAAGGGTATCAATGTTTTTAATACTAAATATTTAATAAAGTTTATTTATTGATCAGTTATTGTGTTGCAATAATAAAAATAATACTACCTTATACAGACTGTCTAAAAATTTATTTTAAATAATTATTAGCTTCAAACGGCAATAACTTCTTTAATTTAAATGGAATGCCCTGTATATTTTACGAGAATCAGATGCACAATTAAATTGTCTATCAAATTGTATTATACCATTTTTTACGTATCCCTTCAAGTTTTCGTAGAAAATGCATTATAGTGAATTATATCGACAATATTAGTATCTGTACTCTTTAAAAATTTGGTACATCTTTAAAAATAATCTAAAATGTCATAGTCCATGGGTATATTGATAAATAAGTTCTAAATTACAAGAAAATGCATTTTCTACGGAAACTTAAAGAGATAGGTAAAAAATGGTATAATATAATTTGATAGACAATTAAATTGTGCATCTGATTCTCGTAAAATATACAGTGTGTTCCATTTAAATTAAACAAGTTATTGCTGTTTGAAGCTAATAATTATTTAAAATAAATTTTTAGACACTCTGTATAAAGTAGTATTATTTTTATTATTGCAACACAATAACTGATCAGTAAATAAACTTCAGTAAATATTTAGTATTAAAAACTTTGATACCCTTGGAGAAATGAAGCCTTAAAATTTTTACTGCAATTTCACAAAATTGAAAATATTTAAAAAACGGCAAGGTTTAAGTATAATAAACCTTAATCAAATTTACCTTTATTTTAATCGTAGAAACTGAAAATGTAATAATATAGAGGGTGTTCCGTTTAAAAAAATACAACTTTGATATTTTTTACTTATTTGGGACACTCTGTATCTTGTAAAATTATTTTTAAATTGTACCTCTAATAGTCCTTCATCGAACCCAAAACTTACAATTTGTAAAAATCTCATCGTTTAGCTACAATACTCCGTGTCGTATGTGGTGAACAACCCTGTATAGGATCTTCTTTCAATGCGCAGTAGTGAATTCAACGTTTCCAGTAGCTAGACTGGCCCGAACGCTGTTCCAGAGAGCATAGTAAAAGATATATCAATGAGCCAGATTTCTTAAAATACTTGTTTTCCCGACGTTGCTTGCTCTCGTACTAATAGCTATTATTTTGTTGTGAGGTTTTGTTTTGTATTTAATTTAGTAAAAACACACGCAGAAAGAAATGCATTTTAAAATAAAATTATCAAACGTGATTACGAGAGATTAAAAGGGAAATATTATCTAGGAAGGTGCATTTAGTCCGACTGTTCTTTTTTTTCATAATTTTTGTATATTTTGATGGAAAATACAGGGAGAAATGGGTAAAATTGAGAAAGAAAAGTAGTTTCTCTTTTTGTCCAATCTGTAGTTTCAATTCGTCATAAAATTTGATTTGTACATAAAATTTAAAAAAAAATCAATAAAAAGATAAAATACCGTGCTGGTAACTCATACTTTTAGGTCGGTATTTACATGTGGGGCAGTAATGGTGGGTTCATGCTTCTGATCTTAGCCCTAACACTAAGAATATGAATCAACGTTAAGGAATGCTAGCGTTCTTGTTTCCGTTGTATCGATTCTCGGGTGTGGGAATCGAACCTGTACCTCTACGCCACCGGGCACCTACGATAAGTTTATAATATGTATAATCTGTGCTAATGCTAATTCAAAACTGAATCGCGCATCCTAAAAACTAGGGGTTTTAAGAATTCTCGTCTTTTCCCAGCCAACCGGACGCCGTTTTTTTCGGTATCAAGACGGTATTTGATATATATACTTGCGTATTTTTCATGACATTGCAATATTATGGTACCATGAAACATATCAAGTGATACCGTAATATAGTACCATATTACGATACATGGCGTTCGATTGGGCTTAAACTTGGTATATTACGTATCTTCAGTGACATTGTATTATTATGGTGCCATGGAGCATATAAAGAGGTACCTTCTATAGTACCATATTATGATACCAATTCCTGACGTTCATTTGGGCTCATATTTGATATATACTTGCATATTTTTGATGACATTGCAATATTATGGTACCATGAAGCATATCAAGAGGTACCATAATAGTACCATATACGATACCATTTCCTGGCGTGCGATTGGACTTATACTTGGTTTAGTAAGTATCTTCGGTGACATTGTAATATGATGGGACTATGGTGCATTTAAAGTGGTACCTTAATATAGTACCATATTACGGTACCACTTCCTGACGTTCGATTGGGCTCATATTTGATTATACTTGCGTATTTTTGATGACATTGCAATATTATGGTACCATGAAGCATATCAAGGGGTACCATAATGTAGTACCATATTACGATACCACTTCCTGACGTTCGATTGGGCTCATATTTGATTAAACTTGCGTATTTTTGATGACATTGCAATATTATGGTACCATGAAGCATATCAAGGGGTACCATAATGTAGTACCATATTACGATACCACTTCCTGACGTTCGATTGGGCTCATATTTGATTAAACTTGCGTATTTGTGATGACATTGCAATATTACGGTACCATGAAGCATATCAAGGGGTACCATAATGTAGTACCATATTACGATACCATTTCCTGGCGTTCGATTGGGCCAAAATTTGATATACATGCGTTTCTTTATAAAGATTTGTTTAATTAATAATTTAATTTATTTTACGAATTTTAATTTATTGTACGATGTCGTGACAGCAATTTTTATGCCGAACTAATATATTTTTAATTGTACCTGTGTCACTTTTTAAAATCTACCTAGGTCTATATAAATAACGTGGCAAACAGAAAGAAATTGTTATTATAGTATTTTTTAGTCAATTAACATTTTTTGTACTGCATTTTTATAAATCATTTCCATTATTTTATTAAATGTATATTTCATTACTAACGTTTCAGCATTAATAAATATCACTATCAATCGCCCTGTATATTAATAATTTTAAAGGTAATTAAAGTTATTTTCTTAGTTAACATAATAAAGTAGTGTATATTAAAGATGTATTTTGAGAGCATATGTTTTCTAATAATATACTTAAAATTAAAACTATTTTAAAAGCCAAACGAATAATTAATATAAGTGTATCTGACAAGAAACGAAGAATAGAAAGAAATTATTATACACCAGAAAAAGAATGGGATGCCAATTAAAGTCTTTTTGAATCTGGCAACTGTGCATATTTAACCGAGCTTCAAGGCCGTCGACGTGCCGTTGATCTACGTCGATCCAAAACCGAAAGTTGAAAACTTCCAATTATATTCTGATTATGATATTGTCGCGCCATCTAGTACTTTATTTGTGTAATTTTAGCTCTTTCATTACGAGTATTTTTCTGTTGCGTAGCTAGATATTCTGTGCTACAATTTTAAGTACTGTGGGTCGACCGCTCGACCGCGACGAATCTGCTATATCTTCTTCCACGTCTCTTAGAAATGTGCAGTTTTTCGGTTTATTTTCATACGATTGGCAACCTTTTTACTGTTCTCTCTTTGTTCAGTACATTATAAACGCATTGTACTCTTACATACGGAAATCTCGACCCAAAACTAATCTTTGCCAGCCCTTAGTATAAGAAAATTACATTTTTACAATAGATATTAACAGTCAACAGAACGGTTTTAACAGGCGTCATTAAAATGAAGGATTAAACATGAGAAATAGACTGACTTATAGACTTAATAAACTGAAAAAGACGCTCTTGTAGCTACTGCATTGTTAAATACCTACTTGGTGTCACTTATTGTATTTTATTTTATTTTCTTTTTATTTTTAGGACAATCAATAAATTGCTCAATTTCTTGCTCCAGATTAAAGAAAAACATACGAGGATTATATGTGATCTTAAATATTGGCAGTTCAAAATACGAATACATTGTTGACTAAGGTAAAAAAAAATGAAACACATTCATAGAAAACCGACTTAACTGTATTTAAAAATATACAAACTTATACTACAAAATAATTTATTTAGACACAATGAGAAAGGTATTTAAAATCCGTTATTCCTAATTCTAAATACTTGGTTCAGGGGACTGTATGCAGTTCTTTGTGTTGTGTAGTAGGTTGCTCTCCTGTCATAGTCTGATTGAACATCCGCTCTTAGAATCACCACTCCTAAAATAAATGTATTTTTGTTAATTTCAGTATTGTCAATACATTTTCATATCACATATATTAGATTAATGAAATAAACAAGATATCAAACAATTTAAATCTATAAGTCGTTATACATATACAATGTTATTTAAGTAATGATTCCATGATTCCAAATATGCCAATTGTATGTATCTAAGTTAGTTTTAAATTTTCTTTTATATTTTCACAGTGATATTATAAAGTTATAGCTTTGTAGTTGTGATCGTATATGATATATCAGTAAAAAAGAACCAATAAATATGATTTTATATAAAGTTATATATTGCTTATGTTTATATTTTCATCTCATACCTGATGGATTAACTTTCACTTTAATTTTTGTTTGGGGTGATAAAATTTCGTAATCCACATCTTCATACAAGTAATACTTAAGCTGGTACATGTAAGTTGTTATATTATATGTATTGTTAATTATTGCTAAACCTACTTAAATATGTAATAATTATCTGTTTCTAATCACCTTGTTGGAAATAGAATAGATAAAAACCATAACATCAATGTGTGTTTCTATTCTCCCGAATAGCAGGTGAATAGAAACACAAAAGTTATTTTTATTTAATATTTATATGCATATTTTTCAAAAATCAAATTATATGTATACGCAAAGAACAAACAAAGACCCATGTTTTAAAATATTCGGGAACATAATACCACATTTTTATCAACCGGTATATCGCTAATAGCCTACGAAACTGTTTCTATTCACCCCATTTTACGGTACAATGTTATTTAAGTAATGATTCCATGATTCCAAATATGCCAATTGTATGTATCTAAGTTAGTTTTAAATTTTCTTTTATATTTTCACAGTGATATTATAAAGTTATAGCCTTGTTTATATATTCTTAAAGTTGCCCAACCGACTAGACAAAATGTGCTGCCAACTGGAGGACAAATCGTAAACCTTTCGGGGCGGAGTCAAAAATATCGATTATTTTCGTTATTTTCCTCAGAGTAATGTAATAATATAGCCCGGGTTTCTGCGAACTTTAATAGTGATCAGCTGATTAAGAAATTTAAACAAAACTTTTATTTTATTGTAAATTGTGGATTATTTTTGCCTGTTATTTTAAGAATCCTAAACCGTATTAACAAACAAAGAAATTATTATTTCGATATGTTGGTACATTATTTATAATAATTTATGATAATGCTAATTGCTATTAATTAATATTTAAAAAAAGTTACATACCTATTTTAATTTGATTTAATGCAGGTTTATAAAAGAATCATTTCATTCTTAGATTATTTTATTCTAAATTGAGTGCTTTACGAATTTTACGATATTTTTTTTGAAAACATAAAACTTTTTACATTCTTGATGCCAACTAATTGGCATGGTATTATTGGTATGAAAATTAGCCAAGAAAGAAAAGAATTGGCTATACATTTTCGAAAAAAAAACATATTATACCTAGCTATATCGCTGAAAAGCTTAAAAAATGGCGCTTTTTATGAAGTCATGGCCAACTATGGTTTCCATTTAAAAAAACATAACGTTTGTGTCATATATGTCAAAAATGACAGGATTTAGAAGAAAAAAACATAAAACACAAACTCATTAGGTATGTGATTATCTACCACTGTTATGTGAAAACTTTTTGTCTAAAATACCGTATGATCGAATAAAAACGGCGTCAGCGATGGCTATGAAATGACGATCGATGATATTTCCCATATAATTTTACATATAAAATGACAGCGATCTTCATTTCATAGACATCGTTGACGCCGTTTTTATTCGATCATACGGTAGATTATAATGGGATTAGATACAAAAGTTTTAAAATAGCCAAAATTTGTTTTTTTTTTCGAAATATCTAGTAAGCCTTGAACTTCTCCGAAAAATCCGAAAGGCGCATATTAATGACCCCACAAAACTGCAATTCTTTCCCCATTTAACCGACTCTCTATCTCCAGTCACCAGTAGTTTCCGAGATACCCATAGAGAACATCGTAGGAAACTCACCCTGTGTAGTATTTAGAAACTAACTATTATTATTATTTGACTAGATTAATTTGATTAATAAGACTCGATTAATTTAATTTAAAATAAATTTGATCAGATTTTTTTTTCGTGTATTCTACTACCAGAAAACCAAAATTATATGATAATGCACTTTTCAACGAAGTTGAAGGAAGGTATAGTGTATCTATCACAATACTTAATAGAATTACTACAATTAGAAGAAAAACAAAAAAAAAATACCCAAATACCTTCACCTACTACTCATCTACAAAATAAACTAATATAATGTCTTATAAAAACACTACACAACTACTTCTTGTATTCTACACTGAAAAAATTATCAAACTTACTAAATAATCAAACAAAAAGAAAAAATAACCAAATTATCCCTTCACCTACTACTTAACTACAAAATAATAAACTATAAAAACACTACTAAACTATTTGTGGTATTCTACAGTAAACATTATAATTAAACGTAATAAAATTAATCTAATTTTACACTACAACCACTACAAAAAAATAAGAACATTTTTTAAAACTAGAAGAAACAGAACTTCGATACGTGCGACCAGTATAATAGATCAAGCGGACAAAGATTATAAAATACTTTAAAAATGTGCATTCAGAAAGAAAAAATATCTCGAAAATTATCTAAACAAACATTTTTTTTTCTTATCAGTAAAAAGCATCGGCCTCGTCGGCCTTGCGGAATTTGTCGGGTATTTACAATGGTCGAATTGTATAATTATAGTATTTTTAATACCTATTTAGAGGTACCAGCCGTTTTAGTAACTTAACGTATGCGGCTTCTTGCACCATCTAAACCCGCATGAAAAAAAATAGGTTATGACCTTTGTCATGTCAAATGCTTGACATATTTCTTATTGCATTGGCGGAGTGACTTGAAATTTCATATTATCAGTGGCGGTTTATAATAATAAAAATTAATTTTATGAAATTCTAAAGATGTTCACGTAATAAAAAAAATATAAAAGAAGCGTACTAATTTTAAAAATATTGTTTTATTAACTAGATACCGAGTTTTCTTAAAAAAATACCTATATTATTTAAGATCTCGATTTAAGGCTTATACTTATGCTTAATGTAGTAAACTATATTCACAAAACGATTTAGGATCTCGATTTAAGGCAATTCAAAAAGCGTCTGAAGCACTAAAAGTATAATAAATAATATAACAAGAAGTCGAGCAAGCAGTAATAATATTTATTTAAGGGCTCGTTTAAGTACAAATTCTAGATTTAAAAAAAATGACAACGTGATCTTAAAGGCTAAGTTTAATTATTTTCTAAATCAGAATAACTTTCGGAAAGTGATAGTTCATCATCGGATTCATTGGATACAGAGATCACCATAGGTTCGATGTTTAGTAGATCCAGTTTGTTTTCTACTTCCCATGCTTCAGAAATAATTTTCTCTGTATGTTTTATGTAATTCTGCCAGTGTTGCTCCGGTACATTATTTACAACGTCATTCCATACTTTTAACACTTCAGTAGGTGACCCTGCAGTTTTCATAATAGCTTGGTATAATGCCTTTTAGTTTCAGACCATACCATTTCGATGGCATTAAAATGGCAATGGTAGGGTGGTAGCCTGAGAACACAATGACCATGCTCGGCAGCGTATTTATCTAAATGATAATTTTTTTCCGGAAAAACTTGCTTTTCAATTATATTCCAAACAGCATCCTTTAAAATGTGATCTGGAAAAGGAATATTCTTCTTTTTGAGCCATTCTAACATGCGTGTTTTGCTCCAACTTTTTCTTGGGATTTCTTCATCCAGGCGACTGTGGTACGTTGCGTTATCCATTATAATTAACGATGGTTCTTCCAAGTTTACAATTAGTTGCTTTTTAAACCAGTTTTCAAAATTTTCGGTGTTCATGTTGTCATGGTAATCACCTGTTTTTTTATTGCATTTAAAAATTAGCGATGCATTTACCACAAAACCATTTTTATTACCGGCATGAACAATTACATATCGCGTCCCACTTCCAGTTTTTTTTAAATCACTGTGTTTAGTACCATCTTGCCACATTCTTCTATCCCCGCTTTTACTAAAAATCCATGTCTCATCCAGAAAAACAGGTGTAAAAAGCTTTTCACTTTTAGCAGCATGGTATTTGTTCAAAAATAATATTCTTTTTAATCTGATTCCAGGCATTTCCAATAACTGTTTTCTTCCATCCCGTTTTTTGAAATGAAAACCCATTTTTTTAATTCCCAAATATAACGAACTTTTGGAAATCTTAGTTTCTGGAGACTCTTAGAGTTTCTACTGTGATTTTATCCTTTCGCGCATACATTTTGTAAATTACTTCCCTCAAACAATGTAGGGTTTTCTTTGTAATTCGGATTTTGCTCCGGGAAACGCTTGCAGACATATTTCTTCTAAATTCGAAATCTGTAGCTCTGTTTGGTTTTTCTAGATTATATAATGTGCATTCTGGGACTTTTAGTGCTTCGGACGCTTTTTGAATTGCCTTAAATCGAGATCCTAAATCTTTTGAAAATAGTTTACTACATTAAGCATAAGTTTTTGGATTCATCAGAATATCGCATTTTTATATCTTATTTTGCGTTATGACATTAACATGAAACGTAACTTCAAAAACGTGACATCTAACAAATTATTAGTAATCGACGTTCATTTTTGTTGGTAATTTTTTGTTTCACCTGATTTATTAATAATAAATAAGGATGGTGTTATTCTAAATGGGTATTAAAAATACTATACCAGCTTTTATAGCATATCTAATAGACAAAAAGTATCTGCTCGATTAGTAACCAATTGGCATAGTACGAAAATTATCGATTTTTATTTTCTCTGTTTTTATTGGTCGCTACAAAATTCAGAGTAACAAAAAATATTTTTCTGTAGTAAATGACCGTGAAATACGCCCCGCCATCTGGTGCTTTACATCCATAAACGTCTTAGGTTGAGCTACTTTAAAAATCCATATACAAGGGTTATAGCTTTGTAGTTGTGATCGTATATGATATATCAGTAAAAAAGAACCAATAAATATGATTTTATATAAAGTTATATATTGCTTATGTTTATATTTTCATCTCATACCTGATGGATTAACTTTCACTTTAATTTTTGTTTGGGGTGATAAAATTTCGTAATCCACATCTTCATACAAGTCCTACAAAAAAAATAGGTTAGTTAAAATTGCTCGAAGGGTTTTACATAGTTTAGTAAAGCAAAATTGTGAAAAAATTATTGGGTTTCGTTATAAATTTTTAATTCTGATTTGTAATATACAGAGTGGTAGATCTCGATAAAATAAATTGATTGTTTCCTTAGCTTTTGAGAATCACTGGATTTTTTCTGTTTTAATTCCTCTACCAATTTAATCTACTACCTATATGTTGCCATATTATCAAGATATGATTTTTAACTTGTAATTGTATTTTGTACATATACGTGTATTACTTATTGTGTAACGTAAATTGAGTATAATCTATCAAATGAGAGTTGGTCAAACTACTCAGTACCGGGTGCATCTCAAAAGTGGCTCACCGCTATAACTTTTTTATTTTTTTCGATAAAGGCAATAAATAAAAAAAATATGACATAAATTAGGATTGATTGACGTATTCAATTGTTTTCGGTCACTTCCTGTTTCACCGGAAATGACTACAACTTTTAATTTTTTAATAGCACTCTCGGTATTTTTTTTACTTTATTAAATAGAAAATGACACTCTGAATAGAATGACGTATCACATGTCAACTTTTGACATTTTCGCATATGGTTTATTTGAAATTGTAACATGCGGTTCATAACGACATTTTGACTTGAAATACCAAGTGTGTGGTATCAATTTATTCTATTTATTTTATTTATATATTATATTATTTATATGCTCATTGGCATAATGAGCCATCCTCGTTCCATTTGAAAAAATTGACATAATTATGATTAAAAATACGATTCGGGCATCTTTTTACTGGGTAGGACAAAATACGAAAAACATTGACGATGAAATCTATTTTTCCAAGGCTCCTTGATTAAAAAGTAGTGTTTTTGACACAGCCTATACTCTACAGTATGTCCTCGGGTTGTCTTTACAAAAGGAAAAACTTTTTTATTGATATTTTCAGAAAAATGCATTCTTCATAAAAATTTTTGCTTATTTCGAAATGGATAATCCTCTTTAATACTTTTCCAAAATGCCATACAATTTTAGAAAAAATTAAGAAAAGCGTGAAAATATGTTTGATTTGTTTCTAAGTCCTAAAAATTAAAAGGCGTTTCTATAGTAATATCAATTCAATTTCATTCTTTGATAGATGGTTATTTCAGCATATTCATGAATTTTGATTAACGTCATATTTCTTGCGGTTGCTAAAGTATTACATTTTTACTATTACATTTTCCGATAACTATCGTCGCCCTTTCCGTGTCATTGAACTAAATAAATTTTGTGCTTCTTCAATATTTTAAAACAACAAAAAATACGACGTTAATTAAAATTCTATGAATAACAAAATATATCAAAGAATGAAAACGAAATTATATTACCATAGAAACGCGTTGTGATTCTTAGGACTTTTAACCATATTTTCATGTTTTTGGAATTCATGGAATTTTGAAAAAGTATAAACGGGATTAACCATTTTAGAACAAGCAAAATTTTTTATGAAGCATATATGAACATTTTTCTCAAAATATCAATAATAAAAAAGTTTTTCCTCTTGTAACGTCAATCCGGGGACATACTGTAGATTGCAATTTAAAATACGATTTTTTTAAGCGAGAATGTCTAAAGTTGACTTATGATGTATGTCATTCTATTCGGAGTCTCGTTTTCTATCTAATAAAGTAAAAAAATACCGAGGGTGCCATTTAAAAACCAAAATTTGTAGTCATTTCCGGTGAAACAAGAAGTGGCCAAAAACAACTGAATACGTCAATCAATCTTAATTTATGTCATATACTATCATACCAAATCTCGTTTTTTATCTGAAAAAAAAATAAAAAAAGTTATAGGGGTGAGCCACTTTTGAGACGCACCCGGTATACCAGTCCAGTTGTATCAGTTGTTGTCTGTCATTTTAATTACAGGTAAATTGTAGTTTCTGTCATTTTTTGAATGTCGTCTGTCGAAATATATCACGACTCGTTGGACTAGTATATCCGTTTTATATGTTAACATTATTTCTAGCTCACAATTTGCCTTAATATTGTTATGTTTTCCTTACTTCAACTCGATATCCAGTAGGTGAAGTGAGTCCTAACTCTTTGAGCGTTACAGCTACATCCGACGGAGTACCATCTGTACGCCTATTTACAAAGGCTATGGCATATGAGAAGTAATTTTGAAAGATTGGAGTTATAGGTCGAGACCATATTTCAATACCCTTGTGCTGAAAAGGAGAGTTTGTGAATTAGTAATTTTACAAAAGAATACTTTCTTTGGGTTGAGGAAATTTAATATTTATATTTTTTTTGAGTTGTTATTTATAAACTGTTATTTCCAAACTGTTGTATAAATAACAGATTGATACACTTGTTACTTGCAAAAGATAACAGGTATTATTAAGCCACGAAATTCTACCAATATGGCAACAGTTGTTTAAAAAAATATCAGTTAGTAACAGTCGACCTACAATGACCGTTCAAGATATCCGAGTTTTACATTTGACAATTTGTTGATACAAAAAAATAGGCTGTACTTAAACTGCCGTTAAACGGTAGCTTACTAAAATGCCGTTAATAGGTATGACGTCGTTGATGTGACGCACTTGACGGCTTTATGAAATATAGGAATTTTATAAGGACTAACCAACGCTATCCACCCCACCAAATAACCAACGCAACTAACCTCGACACTGATAAAATATATAAAAACAAATATAAATTAGTAAAAATCAACCAACCTCACCAAATAACCAACTAACCAATGAATTAACACCCTCCAAATAACCACGCTAACCAACCCGCCAAATAACTAAACCAATCCAACCAAAAAGAGTGAAACCAGTGCAATAATATCACGCTCTAAGCAAAAAAAATAAAAAGTCTTGGTCGGCGTGAGATTTGAATCACGGACCATCGCTTACGAAGCGATCGCGTCAGCCACTGACCCACGGGTGCTCTTGCAAAATGCTTAAGGCTAGGCATTACTTTCCGCCGACATGAACGACGTCACAATATCTATTAACGGCATTTTAGTAGGCTACCGTTTAACGGCTGTTTAAGTACATCGAAAAAAATAACAGATGTGAAATAACCAGTATGCTATACAGGTACTCAAAACTGGTATTTGTAAATAACAGTTAAAACTTTTACTATTATTACTTTTTACTTTATAGATGAATAAAATATTACAGATATTGAGGGTGTAACTTATACACCACACTATGATAAGCAGTAAATAACAAATTTCTTTTCAGATGTTACTGAAGTTGCAACTGTTATTTAGAAATAACACTTGTCCACTTCTAGATAGTGTACTGTTATTCACATATCTGTAAATTGTTAAGTTCTTCAACTGTTATGAGTCTGATAGAACTGGTGAGCTCGGCGATCTTGACATCACGTCGCTAGCGGTTACTGTCGGCTGACTGTTATTTTGTAAGATATTTTTTTTGAAGCAACTGCTTCTTGCTTAGAATTTCTTGGCGCGTTTTTTGAGACATTACTTCGCGGATGTTGCTGTTGATGCACTGTTATTTCTTGGAAGGTACAACTGTTGTGTGAATTGATATTTAATAACAATATAAAATAACGGATTATATTAAATAACAACCCGTCTCTAAGGTGAAGATGTCGAAATTAATATTTACCGTATTTTATACTTTTAGCATGGCACATTTAAAGAAAAAAATTAAAATGGTGGGAAAATCAATTAGTACCTAAACTGACATTGACTTTTACAAATATATGACTTACTTTATATATTCTCCTTCCTTGAATACCCAGAGGATCCTGGTCCACAGCTATTATTTTCTTATTTTGTAATATAGATTTGTACTCTGGCCTGATTGTCCTTAAGTCGACTGACATAAGTAGAGGCGCGGCTAATATAGCCCATATAGCCATTTGGGTCTTGCTCTGTTCGTAGCTAAGTCCAAAATTACCTATTATTAACTGCAAGAGAAGAAAATTACGTTTAAATATACGTTTTGTCGGGACTACTAGTGCCAAAAGGAAAAATAAGATGAAATAAATTAGTATACAGGGTGAGTCTTAAATAAGTTTCGACCCTAAGTAACATGTCTATGAGTCTTTTTTTTCGCAAAAAGAATGTTCACAATCGTTCTTTTCTTCAAATTAAATTTTCCAGTATATTTTAGATAACTTTTTAGAACTGCCTGTTCACAGTGTTCACCGCAAATTTTCTCTCACGGTATAATTTCTTAATCACTGATAGTTACAATGGTTGCGGCTTTACTCTATGGTTACCTACGTCACTAAAAGAGATGCAAATATAGAAAAAATCCGGTGACTCCTAAAAAGGGTGTCTCATTTTTTTTAAATACATAATTTTTTTTAATTTTCATACTTGAATAACTTCTGTTATTTTGGACATGGCAAAGAGAAAATTTGTTTCTTTTATCGAGATCTACTAGCCCTGAAAACATTTGCACTTATTTAAGACTCGGCCAGTTTAATTGAGCCACCTTTGTTCCATTTGAAAAAATTGAGATATGATTAAAAATACAATTTGGGCATCTTTTAACTGGCCAGGACGAGACACGAAAAGCATTAGACGATGAAATTTATTTTTCCAAGACTCCTTGATTAAAAATTATTGTTTATAACACAGCCATGGCACTCTAGATTGAAATTTAAAATACATTATGTAGTAGTATGTAAGTTAGTATGTCATTCTATTCTGTCGAATAAAGTAAAAATATACCGAGGGTGCAATTTAAATCAAAAGTTGTAGTCATTTCCGGTGAAACAGGAAGTGATCAAAAACAATAATTAAATACGTCAATCAATGCTAACTTATGTCATATACTAACATACTAAATCTCGCTTTGTTAACTGAAAAAATAAAAAAGTTATAGGGGTGAGCCACTTTTGAGACGCACCCGGTATATAATAATAAATATGTCCTATTTCATAGACTTAGGACATATTTATGATAATAAAAATGGACATAATGAAAATTAAACCATAGATACAATTTTGTAGTGAAGTTCCATATGTTTTTTAGTCCACTATACACAATGCTATAATTGATAAAACTGCAGGTAAAACTTACAGTGTATACGCTACTTTTTAAACCGTTTTACCTGACAGGTAAAACGTTATGTGTAGATGGGTCTTTATCACGGATTTAAAAAAACTTATCAATATGACTAATGTATCTAATTAATTAAAATTTAAACAGGTTATTAATATGTAGTGTAAAAATATTGCGTGTGGATAAATGGCAATAAATTTGTTATGATTGCAAAATGTATATATTTAAATATTAATAATAGCGAATTTCAGAAATTATGTAAAAAAGCTATTATTAAAACGGGCTATTGTTTCTAATTAAAAAATATGCGTAGGGATCGACAGTCCGTAAGAAAAAATTACAATGGACATGTGGTAATTAATATTAATTATGATATCCAAGTGGAAGTGCTAATTTTCTATCTGTTATATAATGCCATGCATGAAGAGTTGAAGATATAAGTAAAAAACTATATTTTGATTTTGCTATACCTGAGTCCCTAGTTTTACGCGGGGGTTTAATTTCTTTGAAAAGGCCCAGTATGTCGAAACCATGTAGGTATATTGAAACAAACTTTTTATTACATAAACTATAGAGGGTTAGTCTTATTTCGACCACAAGAACCCGTCTATGAGGTTTTGTTCTTGACAAAATAAGAGGATTTTTAATTTTTTAGTTAAAAAAACACGTCATTAATATGGCAACAAGGATAGTAGACTAAATTTAGATAATGGAAAAAACAAGTTTTCAAAATTTAAGAAAAAAATCTATATATTTTTTTAATTTTTAAAGTTAAATAATTCGGCTTATACAGGGTGGTCCGAACTGTATTCGGGAAATTTGGCCAGCGTATTCTGGAGATAAAAATAAGTTAAAAAGTTCATATAAATTTATGATTTAAAATGCTTCGTTCCGGAGATACAGGGTGCAAAAGTTTTATTTTTATTTCGATTTTTTCAAAATAATTTCTAAACTAATATCGGTATTTTTCTGGTTGTTTTTCGACCGGATAAATTTGATGTCAATGTCAATTTGACTCCTACTTGTAGAATGCGCTAACAAAATATTTTTAACTGGTTTTTAACCATTTTGTTGGTGGCAACGAATGAGTCATTAGGTGGTCATCAGCGACAATTTTAGCGATTTTTAATAGTTTGTGTGTAGTGAACCTTGTATAAACTTTATTGCAATCGTGATTAGTTGTTCAGCTTTCAAGTGTAAAAGGCGCAACGATAAGAAAGAGCCAGGAGTTACGTTTCATAGGTAAATAAAGAGTCCACACCACCTTTTTAGCGTTTTCTTAGTTTTCTTATTGAATTCGATAATTATTTTTCTGATATTATATGTACTTGATGTGTGTTACACGTCGAAACTAGTTTTGTACCTTTTGTTAACTTTTTAATACATTTTTTTTTCGTAATTAATTAGTATGTTACCACGGTATACACCATAGGCGTAGTCAAAACATTTATCAAAAAATATAAATCTCTTCAAGTTAAGCAAAATATGTGCCACGGCACTATTTGGTGGCATGTTGCTCTCGGATGTTATTTGTCCTTGGATTCTTGAGTCATTGTTTTGAAGAGTAATAACTTTTCGTCCGTACCCTGTATTAAACTGCTCAGTGAAAGAATATCTGCCATTTTACGTAAAAAAGGCCTCTTGATAAAAATCGCTACGAATAATAATAATCGAAATAATCAATACATGTCATCATTGACATAACATAAACATGTTGACTATAGATAGTTATTTGACTGACATGATATATTTGGGAACTTTTTTTTAAATTAATTAGACGAAATAGTTTTTGTTGAAATTTTGGTACAAAAACATTTCAAATTTATGATTTCAGTCTAAGAACTATTTTGTCAACTGTTGTTGTTGTTGTTTTGTAGGTATATTTTCAAATTTTTTGTCAATGATGATATGTATCTATTAATTAGACTGACTGGAGATCCATTACTCATAGCGATTTTTACCAAGAGACTTTTTTTACGTAAAAACAGCGGAAATATTTATATTTTTTAGTCAGTAGTTTTATACAGGTACGGACGAAAATTATCTACTCTCCTGTATTAAAGCAATTTTTAACCAAACATCGACATTTCGGGGAATTTTTATTTCTGTGAATCTCTTTGGATACTTTTATTTTCGGTCAATTGTTTTTGGGCAATTTTCATAGATTCAATAAACGTATAATGCCAGTGCTAAAACCAAACCTCTTAATTTTCAAATTTCAATTCCACCAAACCAAACCAAACCTCTTAATTTTCAAATTTCAAATGTTTTCTCTGCTGGTTTGCATAATTATCATACTTAAGGTCATCTCAACCGCTTAAATATTAGATTCTAAGTCTAGTATGTTGACCTCTCTCCACTTTAATTAACATAGACGAGCACATTTGACTGTCAGGGTCAACGGTGAAAATGAAATAATTCTTCCTTGTTTTCTCTAGAACATACTTTTTTAAATCGTCGACCTAAATGCAAGATGCTTATATGGAATTCTTGTTATTCTTTAATTTCTTTATACCGTTATGGATGAAATAAAATCAAATGATTTCTAAGTATATAAATAAAACAAAGTCGGGCTAGTTACACCATTTCTAAGTCAAAAACGGCTGGACCGATTTTAATGATCTCTGTTTTTATTCATCTCTAACCTGAATAGCCGAATAACTATTAAAATATTGAAAAAAAATCACGGAAGAAAAGTATATAGAAAATTGGTCTTGCAATTGAACACTAGTCGTGGCCTTGGTCTTACTTTTTGTACAAGAACAAGTCTGGAAGACCAAGACTAGTTTCGCTAATCAGTGATTCTTGAAGTTTGTCTCCGTATTGAGTTTAAATATCTTTGCTCCGTATTGTCTTCACAAGAGGAAAAACTTATTTATTACCAACATTTTTAGAAAAATGCATTCTTTGTAAAAATTTTGCTTCTTCTTAAATAGTTAATCCCATATCCAATTTACCAAATTTGCATACATACTGCCATTACTCGCTGACGAGTATTTGACACGCATCAGAAGATGGTTATGTAAAGCGTTTTCTTTTGTGAGCTTTTCTGTGACTGAAAAGCCCGATACGTGATGTTATCTCTCTTCCGCACTCCGGACATTCAAAAATCTCATTGCTTTGTTGCCTCTTTACTTTTTGGTTGTCGCTGTTAACTGAGTTTACAATACTTCTCCATTGCCTTCTATTGTGCGCTAACAAAATCTAAAAACTTGTTTAATGCGTTCGTTTGTCGGCATCCAGGTTCCGCTTCCATATAACATAGTGGACATTATAATTGCTCGGTACACCGCAAGTTTTTGTGCTTGTCATGACTGTAGCAAACGCTGTCTTTTAATTTTCAGAATGCTCTTGAGGCGCTGCTAATCCTGTGCTGAATTTCACAGTCGATATTGGCCTTTTCCGAAATCAAACTGCCGAGGTAATTGAATTCCGTTACATATTCCAATAGCTCTTCTCCGATTTTTATAGCATTGTTGTGATCTTCTGGGGGAGACACATTGTTTTAGTTTTATCGATGTTCAACTTAAGGCCCAAAGCCTCATATGTCCAGGCTCATATTCAGCATTTCTTGTCATTGCCGTAATGTTTTTGCAACTAGAGCGCGGTCATCAGCGTATTGAAGTTCTGTGATGAATTTTGTACGTGTTTTTGCCCTGAGTCTTTTTATGGTGAACAGACCGCCGTCGTATCTGTATCTAATGCACTTAATTGCTGTCCACTATAATGGCGAGCGCTGCTATGAATATGTTGAAGAGGAGTGGTGCTAAGACACATCCCTGCCTAACTCCTGTATTTGTTAGGAAGGGTTCGCTCAGTGATCCATGATGTGACAATGTTTATCAAATTTACATACCGTTTTAGAGGAAAATAAAAATAATAAAATCCGGTTGTA